AAACAGTAGCGTATCAGTTAGCAAGATTCTGTGTGACACAGGAATAAATAAGCCAATGTCCCAGAAGTCATCCACAGGATCCTTTAGCCGACTGGTTTGCCTGCACTCTTGTTCCAGAGGGAGATCATTCAGTGATATTGCAATTTCTATAAAGTTGGTAGCGCAGGAAACTTCATTCCAGTTAGTTTTGTAAGCTTTGTACCCTCATCTATAAGAGTGAGGAAATGATAGCACTTACCTCAGAGGGCTGTTGATGGTTGAATTTAAAAAAAGCACATCAGGCACATGACACCAGGTCTGGCTCAGAGTAAGTGCTTAACAAAATCTAGCTATTGAAATATATTTTTCTTAGTTACTGAAATCTTTATGACCTTGTGCTAACACTTCAGCCCACCTTAGTATTTGATGTTTAAGATGAAATGATTTCAAACACCCATTCCATCTCAGTAAAATTTTCATAGTTAATGAGAGAACATGTCAATTTTACTGAGAAAATGATTTAGCATTAGTTTAATGATAGTTAAATTTATACTTTAATCTTATAACTCAGGCAAATTTGTCTTTGATTTATTATAACTAATTAATCAATAGAAAGAGCAGAGAGAAGTGTCCACTGACCACCTGTATCACAATAGTCTATTGTCAGCATAAAAATTACTTACGAAAAGGCATAAAGTTTACTTAAGAGATTGCAGTTATGGCTATTTTAAAGCATCTAACATAACCTTCATCATTAGCTGCACAGGAAAATACTGAAATTATGTTAAAAGTATAGAAAATAATTTAAATATAGAAGGAAATCTTTTAAGTTTAAACAAATTTAGCCTATCAAAACAAACCTTTAAACCATTAACATAAAATAAAAGCAAAACTGGAAAAAGAAGCAACAACACTCAAAAATTAAATTCCTCTCCTCCCCCCTCAAACCACTACCTATCTTGGAAAGCTAAAATGTTCTATAACTCAGTTTTGGTTAAGCGTTCCAGTTACACAGTAGTTAGTTCCTTTTCACTGGATGAATTAGACTCTTTTGCAAAACCTTTTGGGATTTACTATCCTTTTAATGAGAAAAGAGACCCCCTGCTAAGAAACAAAGAACATAGATTCAGGCTTTTTAAAGTGCTGACTAAATAATAAAGTAACTTAAAATGTAAATAATAAAGTGACTTAAAATGTAAACAAAATGCTTAATAAGTGAAAACTGGCTGCCTTTCAAGGCATAGTTTAAAGCCCTTCTCAAACATTTTCTCTCGGTGGCAGGTGCCCTGTGTGGTCCAAAGTACTGGGTGTTCTACCCAAGAGGGCTGCCCACGAGGATTTGACCATTTCTTCTCACACCTGCACTTTATGAACATCAGTTTTGCAAACTTGGCCGTTTTCAGGGGAGGAAGATGGGAAGGAGTTTAGGAGAAACAAAACTACTGTAATTTATCTCCATTCAACTTACCTGTAGAAGACCAGGAATCACACACACACACACACACAAATACTCCAGTTTCTAAAGTCGGAAAATTCCAAAGGTCACTTAGTCGCCTCTCTAATAGGACTATAAGAGATTAAAAACAAGATAAAAAACCAAAGGTTTTTTGGGGGAGGGGGGACAGTCTACCTGCTAAATATAACCTAACTTGTCAAGAAGTTATTTCTTATCAGGGATAAAAAAAAATTTTTTTTCTTCACTAGCACTAGGCAAGACATTTGGCTGGGAGTATTGTCTGTAATGTGTTTCTTCTAAAAGAAAACCCACTTTTTTACATGGAAATAATTGCCTTTTGAAACTTATCCCTTAAATTGTTTTCATTCCAATCCTTTTAAAATGGCTAGGTCTGATCAATCCTTTTTGTGCTTCACTACAATCTTCAACTCACATGGAGTCAGTGCAATTCGGAGTTCCGTAATTGCTCATGCTCCCCACTAACTTCCTCCAATAACAAAACATCCAAATAACACTCCCCCACCCTCCACAGATATATGTGCTCTTTTTTCGTTACTGAAAATTGAAGTTGACTTAAGTTCTGGGAAAATTCTATCGCCATGGCAATGTGAAGAAAAAACAACACACAGCCCTCAATGAACATTTGCTCTGTCTCTACCACATACCGGCCATCATCGCACAAATACTAGGTTTCGTAAGGAGTTACTGGTGTAGAAGAAACAATCCACTACTGTGGGAAAGGCAAACTCCTCTTAGAAAAATGAAGACAGTAGGACACCTTGTGTGTGCTGCCGCCACCTGGGAGTGGGTCCTTCACAACAGATTCAGAACGCAGTGGAAGTAGAAAAGAATTGCAAAAAATACTACTTTTAACCAATTATTTAAAAACAACTTTATTGAGGTATAATTATCATAAAATTCACCCACTTTAGCTGTACAACTTAACGATTTTTCGTAACTCTAGGAAGTTGTGCAGCCACCTGCACAATCTGGTTTTAGAATGTTTATGCCCGTCACCCCTGTCAGGTTCCTGGTGCCCATTTACAATGACTGATTCCTGTTCTCAGCCCCAGCCCAGGGCATGTAGGAATCTATTGTCAGCTCGCTTACCTTCCCCTATCCATTTGAGATAAGAAAAAGAAATCTAAGGCTGTTTCATACACGCAGAAGCATACTATTCACTGAAAAACCTACTGTGTCAATAGTCTTAAAGATTTTCAAGGGAATGCAAGGGAATCTTGGACACCAGGCATGTCTGCTGAGTTAGAACAAAGTCAGTGTGATCTTTAAGATTTAATTATCTCTCCAGTTAGAGATAAGAGACTTACACAGTTACAAGGGATTTTGATAATGAAAGAATACTGTCTCAAGCCTTGTTATCTTAATTAAGAAAATATCTCTATGTCCAAACTTAAAAAAAAACGAACTTTCAAGTAAAAGAGTAAACTCCCAAGTATTCCTATAAAATTCAGTTAAAATCACTACCTTTTGGCTGAGGAGACTTTAGAGATACCATTTCCTTAAACAAATTATATTTCAATATAGGATTGAAATATAAAAATTTCTTCTCAGATTTAAGGTGGGCTGTTTTCTTCAAAGTTCTCATGTGTATATTATTCTAATATATTTTGAGTATAGTCAAATATGAAAGTCAAATATGAAAATATCATATTTTCATATTTTTGGTTGACAACATACTCTTCTAACCACTTATTTCCTTCCTTCAGAATCTGTGTTAAGAATGCTTTAGCTTCAGGTCTGTCTCGCTTACACCCTGATTTCCAGGTATCCTCAAGTCTGGAAAGAACACCATCTTCCCAGAAATGTATTAAGAATTCACAAGAATCTCTTTCATATTTGAAAGAGAAAACTGTTCAGTCAAGTGATGATGAAATATTTTTTAAAAAATCGTCTAACTTAGGACTCTAAATTTGGGGAAATCTGTCAACTTGAAATGTTGGTCACAAAAACTCAAGAAGGTATTTTACTCTACTGGTAGGAAACCGATATTTGCTGTTTTTAAGAAAATTCCCTGCATTAATTAAAACAAATCTTAGCTTTGTGTCTTTTATGTGTTAGGCATTTCATAGACCATACAGTTGGAATTACCCCATGGCAGTTACTGAAGGTGGAACTTTCGGAGCAAACAAGTACCTTCAGAAATAAACATATTGCTAGTAACTTTCATAGGTTTTTGAAGCAAACGGGAAGTCTGCACTACCAGGATCACTAGAAGGCAAAGCTTTAAGTTTGGGTCTCGATTTACTGCAGAAGGTCGTGGACTCCTCCTGTTGAAGAACTTGCAAAGCAAGAGTGACTTGTGTCTGTCTGAAAAAAAGACTAACTGGAAGAGTTGCTAAACGCCAGAAGCTTCTCAGATTCCGTCCGTGTCCAGCCTCTGAGTTGAGAGAAAGCAGGGGAAATCTTATATGGGAACTTGCCACATTCTTGGAGTAGATAATTGAAATGTAAAAAATCTGGCAGCCGGGTTGGGGGAGGGGAACTCTGTGACTAAACTGATGTCTACAAAAAGAAGATGTCAAATAATAGCAAGGAAGGGACTGTAGGAAGAAGGCAAGACTGGAAATGGTCTTTTCTTAGCTTTCAGTGATTCAAACAAGGTCTCCGCTTTGTGTGTAACGGGGACGGAGAACACGAGCAAAGGCAAGAAGGTCTTTCCACAGTCGGTCCAGCTTCCCCGTTCTCACTAGTTCCACTTTCAGTGGAAGGAGATATCCCATCCCCAGGAAAGGAAATATATATATATTCTTTAAAACAAACTGCTTTGTCCTTTCAAAAGAAACCTCGTTCTCTGAATTTCCCCCAGGTCCGCTGAGCGCCCCGCAGAACTCCTGATACTTAGCCGAAGCTCATTAAAGGACGGCTTTTCCCCCCGCTCCCAAGCCAGCCCCCCTCAGCACCCGGCAGGTACAGTGTCAGCGGGCGGGAGAAGCCTTGCACGGGGAGCTGCGAAGGCGCAGGAAAGTGAGTCCCCAGTCGATGTGCGTTAGACCAGGGGAAGGGAGCAGGAGGGAAGCCAGCCCCGCCCTGGGACTGCGAAGTCTGCATTCCTGCAGCTGCAAGGTGGTGGCTGCTTTCTGGTTTTGTCCTTCCCCCAAAATATACTCCAGTGAGCAGAGATTTTTTTTTTTTACGGAGATGACGAAATGTCCTACCCCCACCCAAAAAAGAAAAAGAAAAGGAAGCGGCGGGGAGGGGGTTGGAGGAGGACTCGCAACCCCTTCGCTCCACGTACCTCCAGCCCCTCCCTTTCTTCCCCATCTACCCTTTTCCACTCGCTTCCCATCCCTCCCCCCACCCATTCCCCAAAAAGTTGGACGACCGCAAAGGAAACCGAAAAAAGTTCTCCAGCCCCAGTCCTGGCGGGGGGATCAGCATCTCTTTTGTTCGCGGCGAACCCACAGGCCCCCTGACGTCACTGGGAGCCCCGGCCAATCGGCGCGCGGTTGCGGGCGGCCGCGGAGGGGAGGGGGCGGCGGGGCGGGGCGGTCCTCCCGGGCTCCCTGGGCCTCGCGGGGGGCGGGAGGGGACAGTCCCATATAAACCCCGGCTGTCCGGGCTCGGCCGCCCGCGCCGACTGCGCTGTCCAGGGGAGGGAAGGGAGTCCCAGGCGCGAGCCGGGACCTGCAGCCACAACTTTTCGCCCGTCCTCTCCTTCCCCACTGTCCCCTTCCCCGTCCCCTTCCCCATCCTCTGGCCCCTACCTTCTGTAAGGCGTCGGCCCCCCAGGAGTGAAGGAGTCCTTCCGCAGGTTTCGAAGAGAACCAGGTGGCAACTTGCCTCCTGGTGAGGGCGTCCCTCCCCGCACCGTCTCAAGATGCTCAGGGGTCCGGGTCTCGGGCTCCAGCTGCTGCTGGTTGGCTTGTCCCTGGGGACAACGGTGTCCGCCTGGAGGGGCAAGAGACAGGCGCAGCAAATCATTCAGCCCCAGTCCCCGGTGCCTGTCAGCCAAAGCAAGCGTGAGTATTGACTGCGGGCTGAAACTGGCTGGCTGTCGCAGGGATGGGACTGTAAAGCCAACTAAAGTTGTGGCTGAAGTTTTGCGCGCGCGCGCGTGGAGGCTGTGCACGCCTTAATGAGAGAAACCGGCTGTGGACACAAAAGACATTGGTTTAAGCAGGCTGGTTCTGAGGGCCTAGGATAAGATAATACTCGGGAGGACAGGGGCTCTGCGCTGTTCTGCTGTGCTCTTATCAACTCCACGCGTTCAGGTCGTCTTCCTGTGAATTCATCAAAGCTTTCCTTTAAAGAGGAAAATAATTCACGCCTTTAAATTTTTCATTTGAGTTTACTGTGGTCTTTCTTATTTTCCCTGTTACCAAATAGCTTGTTAAATATTTTCAAAATGGGGTGGGAAGAAGGCAGCTACAGAGCTGTGTTGCTCCTAACTTTGGAAGAGAGGTAATTTAGTTCATTTACATTGCCTCAGGGCCCCTCCGGACCCTTCTGGAAGAACGGAGATCAGATTGGAATTCCTATTCCAGTTTTCCAAAGACACACCCTCCCTTTGCCTTGGCTAAAGGGAAGTGCTTAAAGTTGCCCTCTTGCTTGCTACCCAAGAAAAAGCATAGAAGTTTCTTGCATATTTTAAAATGCAATTGTAGTTATCTGCTTTTCAAAATGTTTCCACTTCTTTGATGTAGACCCCTGGCCAGATGGAAATGACATCATTGTATAACATTTAGCTAAGTTAAAAAAAAAGGGGAGGGGAAGGGATACCTAAATATCTACGTGTACAAATTGTGGTTAACTCTTTAAATAACTAGTTTTACATTTTAATGGAACATTGCTTTTAATTCGCCTCATGTTCTGGAAATTAACTTATTTTTTCTATGTCTGTTGCTAGGCTTGTCAATTTAGTTGTGCAAGGAAATTCCATAATCTGGAAAAAGAGCGGCGGGTGCAAATGTAATAACTTTTTGTTCAATTATTTACAGCTGGTTGTTTTGACAATGGGAATCACTATCAGATAAACCAACAGTGGGAACGCACATACCTGGGCAATACCTTGGTTTGTACCTGTTATGGAGGGAGCCGAGGCTTTAACTGCGAGAGTAAACCTGAACGTAAGTGGTGGGAAGCCTGGTCGTTAGTGTCTTGTAGTAAGTAAATGGAGAAGCGATGCTTGTTAATTAAACTTAGCAAAAGTACATATACCATTTTTTCAATGGACCCATCATTTTCTCTTAAAAACATTTCATAACTGCTAATTTTGCTTTTCACATGTTACCTTTACCTTTTTATGCAAAAGAACAAATGTATTTCGAAGTTGTCCTAGAGTCTTCTTTTTGTGTAACTCTCCTAAGGTTTTGACAAGGAAATCAAAGATTGTGCATATTCTCCTTTCAAAACACTTACTTATAAGGTTTTAATTTATTAGAAAGTATTTTTAAATCTAAAATTATAAGATTATGGGCTAGAAAACATTTTGGGTATTATACTGTAAAGTGATTTTTTTTTACACAAAACCATTCATCGCTTCAAAGTTCTCATTCTCTAAGACCATTGATATATTTCCTTTAAATTATGGCAGCTTGCACAGAGAAGAAGCAGGGACGACGCTAAAGTGGAAATAGTAGGATTAACAAGTGACTGTGCCCGGTGGGGGTGGAGCTCTTCAAATTGTTTGCTTTTTATGTGGACCTTAGTTTGACTTTCTGAGTCAGAGATCTGAATCTGAAGTCCTTCCTTCCCCGTCTAGCCAGTCCTGAGGGTAGTGAGTGCTTCATATGGCTTTCTCCTGGGGCCTGAGACTCTTTCACAACGAATTCATTTACAGAAACTTAGGGCTTTTGTCAAAGGTCAAAAGTCAAAGCTTTATTAGAGCCTAAGCTACAATCTAGGTCTCCCACTTAACTTTTAAAAAACTTTTTGTTGTATTGTGTTGCTCATAAAATTGAGAAGTGAGTTCTCCTTTGGATGTGATTAGTGCAATAGGCAAGCTTTTACGTATGTGAGGCTCACATGGACTCTCCTTCTCCCCTCAGCTGAAGAGACTTGCTTTGACAAGTACACTGGGAACACTTACCGGGTGGGGGACACTTATGAGCGCCCTAAAGACTCCATGATCTGGGACTGTACCTGCATCGGGGCTGGGCGAAGAAGAATAAGCTGTACCATTGCAAGTAAGAAAGACATTCTGTACAATGATGCTCAAGTATCATAAATAAGAATTTCTCCATTACTGTCACTGTCATATTCTGTTATCAATGACTGGATAGTTTTAATTTGGGGATTTACTCACCCTAGGGGACCAGGTACTCTTATGTGGTCACCCAACTGGTTTCTGTGTTTCTGAAAGATGTCTCTGAGCACAGGTAGAACCAGTGTTTAGTCTGTGTTTGATTAAGTGTGTGTGTGTGTGTGTGTGTGTGTGTGTGTACATAGTCTAACCAAGTGGTTCTCCTGGGTAAGGTGTGTTTAAGGGAGTTGCCCGTTTTATATTACCTGGACATCTTCAAGCCAGACGATCATGTGATTACTCTAAAGTGATTGGGAAGATGGCTGTGAAGAGTGAACCTCCCATTGTGTGAACTGCTCTTACACCCGACACAAAGAGTCTGGTTTCTTTGTGACCAATAGTTTATATCCAGGAAGTGGATCTTCCTATTCCCAAGGATAATGTGGTAGCCTATCAGTGTTTCCAAGATACTTTGGGGACTGAGTGGACTCTCATCAATTTTAGTTCATTTAGCTGAGGTGCTCTTTCCAGTATGATTCATTGTGTTACAAATAGATTCTATTAACATAGCATTTAGTTTTTTTGATCCATCCTTTAAGTATAAATCACTTCAAAGACATCTGTCCAAAAGAACAAGTCAGTCAGTCCCCTGTGAATAGGCCCAACTGCTTTCCCCATTATTAATGTTAGAGTTTATCCAAATTTATTGTCAAATGCTAAGAGTCAATGGGCCACAGTGTTTACACTCTAGTGGATAGTTCAGCCTTTGGATGTGTTATCATGTTTAACAGCCTAGAAAAGTAACTGGATTTTCACATTTGATAAGTACACCTCTCTTTGCTTTCTGCCAAGATGACATTTCCAACCTAGGCTAAAATACAAACTCTCCCCACTCCCGAAAGCTGAAACACTATACCCAACATGGCTTTTTCATTGAGTTAGTCTCAGGCTCAACCTGCTGTGTCTGTGACGGGGCCATGCCTGCCAGCCTTTCTGTTCTGCTTCAGGACCCAATTTCCTGCGGTCCCTCTGGGGAGCCAGGATTTATGACCTCTTTCTTTGCCATTCAATTTTCTCTGTGGTTTCCCATTGTGTTTAAACAAAACATTTAATTGAATGACCCCAAGCGACCAGACCTGTTCCCCTTTTCCCCTGTCTCTGATGGGAAAGCTGTTCTCTGTATCTTTACTTTGGCTAATCTAAATACCTACTCTGGGTAGAACAGGACACCTATTCTTTCTTGTCTTAAATGTTTTCTCTCCCACTCTCTTTAACATTTTTTTTTAATCTTGAACAGACCGCTGCCACGAAGGGGGTCAGTCCTACAAGATCGGTGACACCTGGAGAAGGCCACATGAGACTGGTGGTTACATGCTAGAGTGTGTGTGTCTTGGTAACGGGAAAGGAGAATGGACCTGCAAGCCCATAGGTGTGTGGCTCTTACTGATGGGGGGGGTGGTGAGAGTGTACCAAGTGTTGGGTGGAACCAGACTCTTCTTGGACAAGTGGTCGGAGTTGCAATTTAAAAAAATGGTGAACTTGGAATCTTATTTTAAATAATGAAATATTTTAGCCCTGGCTGGTGTGGCTCAGTGGATGGAATGCTGGCCTGTGAACCAAAAGGTCACTGGTTTGATTCTCAGTCAGGGCACATGCCTGGGTTGTGGGCCAGGTCCCCAGTTGGGGGCGTGTGTGAGGCAATAGACAGATGTATCTCTCACACATCAATGTTTCTCTCCCTCTCTTCATCCCTCTGTTCCCCTGTTTTTAAAAATAAATAAAATAGTTTTAAAAATGATGAAATGTTTTATAATCCTTAGTTTTAAAGAATCAGATCAAAAAGTACTCACCTATATGTAAGTCTTACTTTTGTTTCAAAAGCACAAGATAGAATTGAAAGATTTAGAAAGTAATTTATTTTGTCTAACACCTAATGTCAGGTTTTCCTTGGCCAAGATATAAGTTATTTTAAAGGAAAAAGTGATATTTTTGACAATTTTATTAGAACACTGTAGACTGAAGCATAAAATTGTGTGTGTGCTGTCAAACCTTAGGGTTTTTTTTTTTAACCAAAATTGTTGAGTTTCTTTTGATCTCAAGCCTTAGTTGATTTTCTAGATACACATTTGAAATTTTCTATCTATTTTAATCTAGTTATTCTGTAATTCAGAGACTTTTATTTTCCTTTGTGTTGGGTTGTTTTGAATAGAAATCCAACTTTTGAGGGCTTTCTTGTCATTGTTTTAGGCATTCATAATTGGTCATTCATAATTAAATTGGAATTTCACACATTTAGTTTCCTCCAGACTGGATACCTACATGGATTCTTTTCTGTTAAAAATGCCGATGTGAAAAAGAATGGTACTGGCTGAAAATATATAGTCCATGCACTTATGCACTGACTAAGGGAACAGAGTTTCTGCCTGCCAACTCAACTTGAGCTGTCTTTCGCTTTGGTTACTATGTGCTTAGTTACAGGGCATGCCTTTCTTTGAACAGAGTACCACTTTAAAAAAATGTGGCTGGATTTTTGCTTACACACACACACTTTAAATTACAGGGAGACTGCACAGTTTGAAATAACTTTTTCCCTCCCTCTTTTGCGTCCACATTTTCCTGCAGCTGAGAAGTGTTTTGACCACGCTGCTGGGACTTCCTACGTTGTCGGGGAAACCTGGGAAAAGCCCTATCAAGGCTGGATGATGGTGGACTGCACCTGTCTGGGGGAAGGAAGTGGGCGCATCACCTGCACCTCTAGAAGTACGTGTCAGATGTTTGCGTTAAGATGAGTCCAGGTATTCTTTTCTGGATTCCCAGAGAGAATTGGGATGCAATGTCAGTTAGAATATGCCCAATACACCAACGTGCTTTGGTAGCTTTTGGGTGCCAGGAAAAATTCTACAACAAACTTATTCTGCTTCTTCAAAGAAGACTAAATTAAAAAAAAAATCTCAGTTCAATGAAGGTTGAGACTATCTGCTAAGAAAGAAACTTAATATTCATTTAAGGGCCCAATGGGTTGTGGACCTGAAGATGAGTTGCAGATGTTTGATCTACATTATTCCTGGGATAGTTTCAAAGTATTAAGAGCAAAGAAATCATTAAAATAACATGCAAAGGCACCTTTGGGTGCGTGGGTGTTGTTGGCATGAAATGGATCACAGTTCGAAAGCGTGAGGTTTCCTTTTATGTTCTACATCGAAATCATAAGCAGGAACGATGGGATTGGAAAGTGTTTATCCCACTGGTTGACATGATGTGCCTGCTATGAGGTTAAGGACAGTGTCTCTCACCCAAAGTCCTGACTAAGCTCAGCAGTGCTGAGAAGACACAGGCTTCTGCCAGCCCCCTGCTCCTTGTAAGGTGGCCTCAAGGCCTTACTTGCTGCCATAGGGGTTCCAGACTTCTTTTTTTTGTAAGTTCAAACTAATAGCAACTGCAGAGTTTATAGAAGCAAAATAGCCACTAACTATGCATGTTATAAATACATTTAAAATCAAATCTAAATATTTTGAACCTATTTTATTTATGTAGCTTAAAGTGTTTAACCATCTTAAAATGTGCATCATCCAGATTTGAATTCTTTGCTAACAAAAAAAATAAATCTCTCACAGAAAGTAATAACAGTTCTGACCAAATCTTTCCCAGGAACTTGATGGTTCATTAGATTTTTTTTTGCATTTGCAATGTTATTACGAACATCAGACTTCCGAGACCTTGGTGGTAATTTTTTTTTCTTTGTGGTAATGTTTTTAGCTTAAGACAAATGAAATGTCTGACTCAAATGCTTACCTATTACTTAAAACTCTTGTAATAGCAAGTTGGGAACAGCTACTCAAAGAAAAGTCACTTCTTTTATGAAATTTTTTAAGTCTCCTTTGTACAAAATGGTATAGGGATGCAAAAATAAATTGGGTGTTAGCTCAGCTTCCAAAGAGCACTTCGGGAGTATGTCAGGGAGGTGAGACAGGCTTGTGTAGCCATCTTTACAAAGTACTATATTAAGGCCTTCAAGGTGACTACTGAAAATAGGAGGTTCCAGGGAAGACAGTCTTTTCAGCTGAGGACTTGGGAAAAAGCTGTAGCCAGCCATAATACTTTCCTTTAGACCTCTGTTCTGGTGGGAGATTAGTGTGTGTGTGTGTGTGTGAGTTTGCATCAGCTGTCCCATTATTTTTCTCCTACCCAGTGCACTCATTTTCTGAGTCACGAACAAATCAAAGCCTCTGTATTCACATGGTAGCATATGGGCAAAGCCAGATTGTAACGGAAACAATCTATTTGCCAGACAATTGAACACATATCCTGATGGTAATTTGGTTATAGAATGTCATTTGACAGTAACAGTCCCACTTTTCCACATGGAGAGTTAGCACTGAGCAATTCAGGAAGCCGTTTTGTTAGTCATTTTAAATGGGTGTTTAGGGGAAAAGAGAACATATTAGTCCGAGAAGCTGGTGTCCCCTGAATTTTTTATCAAGCAGATGAAGAAAGAGATGCTGCTGTCTTTCTAGCTCCTTTGGGGCATCTCCCCAAGACCTTTTCAATCCTACTTGCCTCCTTACTGTTCCTAGTTTTCTAAACAAAGTCCCCTATGGAAGGGCAAGCCATAGAGAGCAATTACTGGGAGGGCCTGGGAAGGAAAGACAAGGCCGGTAGGAAACCAGAGAATGAATTTGGTCAAAAGAACATTGGGGAAACTCTAAAAAAACATTAATGAATGAAAGATGATGAAACAGGATTTTGGCAAACAGAGAAGGGGAACTAGATTAAACCAGCTCTCTTTCTGGTGGGACCAATGCAATCCCATCTTTTGGAGGTTTAACATGTGTGGAACCACAGCTGGGTGGAAATATCTCATAAAAAATCACTTACCGTGCTTTAAATTACTGTGTGTGTGTGTTAAAATACGCATGTATATTTGAAGTTTCAGTTGAGCACGAGCCCAGCTTGCCCTCACTTACGCCTATTTACACGCCTCCTCTCTGACACAGACAGATGCAACGACCAGGACACTAGGACCTCCTACAGAATCGGAGACACCTGGAGCAAGAAGGACAACCGGGGGAACCTGCTGCAGTGCCTCTGCACGGGCAATGGCAGAGGGGAGTGGAAGTGCGAACGGCATGCGTCCGTGCAGACCACCGCCACCCGTGAGGCTCAGGGCGACCAGGGTGGGGAGCAGGGTGGGGAGCGGGGCAGCAGTGCCAAAGATATGTCTGTGAGTCCCCCTTTCTCTTGACATGCCACTTAAGGGTGGCTTGCAGTGTCTCAGCTAGTAAGCTGAGTTCATTTATAGATTGTCTTTGAACCTTTATTCAATGTTAACTTTTAAATTACATGAAAATGAAGTAAAAATGGATCTTGGGGGGGAAGAGTTTTAGCCCCAAGAGATTAAATTGATGTTTAGAAAAAGGCTAGAATCATAAAATCTACACAATTTATCTACATATATAGGTATAGATACATATATTTATATGTGTACACATATAGTACACACATACGTAGACATGTATGTGCATTTTGAGTACCTAAAGTGCATTTTAATGGAAATGAAAGTTATGATGAGTTATATGATTAGTTGATTCTTGTGTTTGGTAAGGGGAAAAAAGTACATGTGTTCTATTTTGAAAATGGAATACATTTTCTTTGTCTGACATTTGGCTCTTTTTTAGTGGAACAATTTTTTACATGTGTTTCCATGCTCCAGGAAACCTTGTTGTATTCCCTAAAATAATGTGCAGTCATTTTCTTCATGTATTGGTATTAATGATTTGAGGGATTTACAGAGGCCCAGAGATGGGAATTAATGACACAGTATCTAAGTATTTTTTTACAAAGAACTTTTAATTATTTCTGGTATAAGAACGAGATCCTTGCATTGTAGCTTCTTTTGTAAGAATCAGAAGAGAGCAAACAATCAGTGGTGTGTACTTCTGTTATTATTCTTAATATGTTGGATTAAGTTTTCACTATGTAATGTGCTAGCCTTATTGCTTAGCCTCTTAGCAATCAGTCATTTACCTAAACATCTTAATTATTTGCTTGGGTGTTTTTCCTTTTGATGAGTTTTCATGTTACTCTGAGCACTTATGAAGGTGAACAAGATTAGATTTGATATTACCTTTGAGTTATTTGATTATTATCAGTAAAATGGCTAACCCAAAAAAGAAATAATTACAAATATCAATGTACTAAAGGGTTTAATTTAAATAGGTAGTCAAGGTTACATAGGGGAAGCATTTGATAAATGTTACCTATATTATTAATATTATTAGTATTAAATGGAACCTACTCTGACAGGATCTTTATGTCCACTTGCACTGTGACCCTCACAGGTCGGGTGTATGAGTGCAGATGCCTTATGTCCCCAGTATGTGTGATCTTGGAAACCATGGTCTGTGGACTGTCTTTGGCAGGGAGATGCTGACGTCAGTCTACCAGTTAGTTGTTCTAGCATCAGTTCGGGCTCTGCCCCACTGGGGGCCTGGCCTTCAGGAGAATAGATTTCCAAAAATTTAAAGAAAAGATCTACACACTCTATTGTGTCATCTTGAAAAGGAAGGTATTTTAAGAGAATTGATTGGTTTGAGAAAAAAACACAACCCATTCACAGATAATCCTAAGAAAATGTGGAAGTTAGGGCGACCTCTAGAGAATCCACATGGCAACACAGGGCATGCCCTGAAGAGCCCGTAGTCACGCAGAGGACAAGGGGTCTGCTGCAGAGTGGCAGGAACTTCTCAAAACAAGGTGAGAAAGAGAAGTGCCCAGGTATATTGGGCTTACAGAAGCTGCCGAGAGGAGGAGCGAAGTAGATCGTTCCAGGTGAAGAGAAGAGGATGAGGACAGCACAGGGCACATCAGGGAATGATGAGTAAGTAGTTAAGTGAGACAAGGCACAGAGCGAGGAAGTGGTCAGAAGTGAGCTGGAAGTTCATGTGAAGAGCTGTGAAATCATGGACTATGAGCTGCCTGGAGGAGGGGGGGAGCTGTTGAAGGTACCTGCTCTGTCGAGTGGGGAAATAATGCCTGTGATTTGGAAATAATAATCCCTGTAGCTCCCAATGAGCTGGTAGGTAGAGACGATTTGGTAGACTTTGTGGATTATTTCCTAGGCTGAGTGCAAAAATAATGGAGAATGGGAGGAGCATTTCTTCGTAGTTTCAGGTCAGTAACCACATGGATTGCAGACTGAGCTGTACCGGACCCCAAAGATCCCAACTTCAGGAAATAGTTATTTTCTCTGGTCCAGCTTTGTGATTTTTCTCTCATGTCCTCAGGATCAGGCACTGTCACAGATGTCCAAATGGCCATTTTCCAGCCTCAGACGAACCCCCAGCCTGTTCCATATGGTCACTGCATCACAGACAGTGGTGTGGTCTACTCGGTGGGGATGCAGTGGCTGAAGACACAAGGAAATAAGCAGATGCTGTGCACTTGCCTGGGCAATGGAGTCAGCTGCCAAGAGACAGGTATGCATTATCTTTTCCAAAAAGTGGCATTGATACCTTTTTTAGTATTTAGTTTTTGAAAGGCAATACATTCATTTTCCAAAAAGTGTAAGACAATAAAACAAACATGAAAAGGTTATAGTTTATCCTTAGTGATAACAATCAGGATTGACACTTGATATTTTCTTCCACTCTTTTAAATCCATGTATTTTCTTTTCTGTAGTGAAGATTAGACTGCTCTGTATTATCTTTATTTGCTTAAAGTGTTGTCACAAAAGGGTTGCTCTCTGAATAACTGACCATCCATATTTTATACTCCAAATCTCAAATTGCTGGGGCTTTGTAAACTTCTTTTAACAGCCCAATGCCTCTCTTCCGGCCTACGAAAGTGGTAGTTAGTAATTATAGCAATAATAATTGGTGCACTTGACTTTTCCCCTGGAATAGTCTCATGTGTTAATACTTATGCCACCAACAGAATCATGCATATTCCTCCAGTATCCTTTGAGCAGCATTTTTAATTAACCTGTGTTAATATAGCTGTACAAGTGGGGAAACTGAGGCATGGTAATAGAGGTGGTAGCAAAGGATGTCAGCAGAGAAACGTAAGTGTTGCTTTGTCGACTTGCTGAGTAATTCATTTTTGGTTGAACTTGGCCAGATGGTCATCTCTCTGTTGTACAAGCTCAGTCTCCCATTTAAGGTATAGCAGCTACCAGGGGCATAAATGCAGCTCTATTTACCAAGACCATTTTGTTTTGCTTGTAGCTGTAATGCAAACTTATGGTGGCAATTCAAACGGGGAGCCATGTGTCTTGCCATTCACCTACAACGGCAGGACTTTCTACTCCTGCACCAGTGAAGGGCGACAGGATGGCCATCTCTGGTGCAGCACGACTTCCAATTATGAACAAGACCAGAAATATTCTTTCTGTACAGACCATACTGGTGAGTGTCCCCAGGGGGAAACCCGCAGTGAGAAAGACCCATTTCTCATGCCCTGTTTTTATCAGTCAGCAATCCAGCCATTAATCTTGAGGCTGCACAGGAAGTATCACTTTTCTGTAGTCCAGACCCAAGAAACATGGTGCTGATTTAACAGCTGAAGATCCTTCCGTGGTCCCCAGTCCTCTTGAAAAATGACACCAAGGGCAAAGGCTGCCAGTTCATTTATTCCTGACACATTGGGATTATGATGGGATTAAAGATACTTGAATGTTAAAACCAGCAGGTAATCCCACAGGGCTGAAGAATAAAGAGGATGGATGACTGTTTCTGCTTCTCTTCTGGTTGCAACTGTTTTTTCAAAGTGACCATTTGCTTTTTTTTTTATGGGAAAAGTCAGAGTGAAAATGAAGGTGAACTACACTAAGGAAGCTTAGAACTATATTATCAGACATCTTTTATTCGTACACAGACTGGAGATGAGCTGCAGAAGCTGGGCTGTCTCAGAACCTTTCCGTAGTCATTCCCTGCTGTACATTGGAAAGCTCTGGGATAATGTTTTTCTTCCTATTTGTGTATTGTTCTGGGCAGTGTTGATTCAAACTCGAGGTGGAAATTCCAACGGCGCCTTGTGCCACTTCCCCTTCCTATTCAACAACCACAACTACACTGACTGTACTTCTGAGGGCAGGAGAGACAACATGAAATGGTGCGGAACCACGCAGAACTATGACGCCGACCAGAAGTTTGGATTCTGCCCCATGGCTGGTAAGATGAAGCCCTTATGGAGTGAGACAGAACGGTGTCCACCTTACTCCTACTTTACCCATGAAGACTTAATTTTGAGATTGCAAAACAATTTTGTGATATAACACATACATATGAATTATATAGTTATTTATATAATTTAAAAAACCATAGGTATAATTTAGAATCTAAAAATATAAATGAAGTAAAAAGACTCTTTAAAATGTCTGGACATTTAAATTGGGCACAAATATGTCTTTTGTAAAGAGCACACAACTGAGTAGCTTGAAATATTTCAAATGTAACTGCCTGTGACAGCCACAGACCTACAGTATCTACATGTGATTTTGGATTCACGGGCGTGAGGTCTATCACTTACTCAATACCAACATGACAAAAACCATGTTTCCTGACCAGTAAGGGATCTTTTCTCTGAAGGAGGGGTGAGGGCCCTAGTTTCTATGAATGGAGAAAGGGGAACCAATACCTTTTATTTGCTTTCAAATCTCAAGAACCTCATAACTACATTTGATTTTCCAGTTGTAGAATCAAGAACCTGTACACTATACTGTCAAGTGGGATTATGAAACAACAAAATATAAGGAAAAAACAACTTAGGCTCACTTTTGTTTTTCTCATTTCAACCCAAGAGAATGTTGGATTTCGAAGAAAGACACACTGGAGCTTACAGTTCTATCCTCATGCCCATAGGTTCCCTTTAAGTTAGAATAAACTGGAACGGTAGTCCAACTCAACTTCTAGAATAATGCAAACCCTTCGTGTGAATGTGTAGCTATCATCATGGTTTGACATCCCCTAACCTTTCCTATAACTACTTCCTACAACATACCTCATCTCTGAACTATGCTTTCCTCTCTGGCACTCAAGACCATTCATCTACAGAGCAGCCCTGAGATTTCTTTGAGGCACATGAGGTTCTTTCCGAGTGAAAGTTCTTCGGATACCAAATCGGACTGAGAATTCTGCCTATGCTTTATGACCTCATGACCATTTCTTATCAAGCATGCATTTCCCATCCATTTCTAAACAGCCCATGAAGAAATCTGTACAACCAAAGAAGGGGTCATGTATCGCATTGGAGACCAGTGGGATAAGCAGCATGACATGGGGCACATGATGAGGTGCACATGCGTGGGGAATGGCCGTGGGGAATGGACTTGTGTCGCCTACTCCCGGCTCCGAGGTATGCTTGCCAACGCCTGAAAACATTTGAGAGGACAAAGGGCACAGAGAGGGAGACTTTGATGTGAAAACTTGTACTTAGCCAGAAGTAGGAGAAAACACGCAATACCATTCCATGGAGTCTACTGTGCTGGATAAGTTTCACATGTCAGACAGCCAGTTAGGAAAAGCTGGCCCAGCAGTTCTTAAACTGTGTTGTGAAACATTTCCAGGATGTGAAACGTGGGCTGAGCCAAAACGATGACTTCAAAGGCTAGAACACCATCATTTGATCCTTTAGTGTTTGGTTGTACCGTCAGATTCTTGTCTAGAAAAGTCTGAGTAATTTCTGTGCAGAAAAGAGACTTTGCTCTTCTAAAATCAGATCCTTGCAGATCCAGATTTAAGGAGACAAATACATAGAGGCACCAGTTTATTTTGTCCAGATCAGTGTTTCCCCTTTAGACCCAGGTATAGAATATGGGGATATTGATTTATTACATCTGTTTTAGTTTTTCTCTTTGTTTCATTTGGAAATTAAAATATAGGTAGAACTCTGAGCTAATAAATAGTTTGTGGAGCCTGGTGTGCTGTCACTGGCCTGAATTTGTTCACTTTTGGTAGGAAACATTTTTGTGTGTTCAGCGGGTAACACGATCCAGGAGCAGTGAGAATTACATACTCTGCTGCTGTGAAAGAGACCCAAGTAGGAAGGAAAGCAAACCGACTCCGCATGTACAGGAAGGAACTGTGGGAAGGAACTGAGATCCAAAGAGAGGCAGGGATTTTCTCAGGACCTCTCAGGGAACAGAGTTTGCATATGTTTTTTTAACTTTATGAATGCTATAGATATGATTTTTATTTCCCAAAGCCCATTATCTCCCCACCCCCACCATTCTAGATATCAGACCATCACACCATGCTGGCTGCTGTATATGAGTAGGTTTAATCTTCCTCCCATTTATTGTAGCAAGCAGAGATTTAAAGGACATTATCAACTAAGCCAGAACTTTTCCAAAAGTAAAACACATATTTGTTCAAAAATTGCCTTCTACAAAAAGGTATATTTTACCACATTCTTCAGTGGTATCTACTTTGACCATCATTTATAATTTTATAACAGAGAGACTTTTTGTGAGTGCAGAAGTTGTATTACTAACTGAGCTTTGAAAGGTGTTTATTCTATGCCAGTAGAAAAGTTATTTTATTTTTAAATATTTTATTTATTGTTAGAGAGAGGGGAAGGAGAAAGAGAGAGAGAGAAACAGCAACGTGTGGTTGCCTCTCACACTCTCACACACCCCTTACTGTGGACCTGGCCCACAACCCAGGCATGTGCCCTGACTGGGAATTGAACCTACGACCCTTTGGTTCACAGTCCAGCACTCAATCCACTGAGAAATGCCAGTCAGGGCTAGAAAAGTAATTTTAATGGGAGGTCTTGATAATTTAATGGAAAGAACTGTGTGTTTTGAAAAGCATAGGGATTTTTTTTTTGGTTTGGTTTGTTTCAAAAGTTCTCCCCCCGTCCCACTCTTTCCTAAATAGATCAATGCATTGTCGACGACATTACTTACAACGTGAATGACACATTTCATAAGCGCCATGAAGAGGGACACATGCTGAATTGTACCTGCTTCGGCCAGGGCCGGGGTCGATGGAAGTGTGACCCCATCGGTGAGTAGTCAGGCCTGTCCAGATGGATCTGGTCCCTGAGAATAGTTAGCAAGTTTCAGATAAGGAGAGCTGTTTGATATTATTACATGATTGAAGCTGGATTGAGACTTTCATCAAAGAGCTTTGCAAAATCTTTCCTCTAACCATGGACCCATATATAATCTTGATATTGGCAGTCATCTATTTTCACTAAATTTGGTGACAAATACAGTTTTCTTTCAATTAAATGTAATTTGTTCTTTGGTTCTGAAGCATACAGATAGTTCATGTTATGCAAGAGAACTTTCCTTTGCTGACTTTGCAGTAACTTGAGCAAATGATGATGCCAGTAAATACCTCTCTCCAAATACTTTATTTTTTTGGATTGCCCTTTACAATAGATCTAAGCAAATAGTGAAGGTTGAGCCTCCAAAGAGCTGTGTTACCAGCTTCAAGGTAACCCATTGATGCTCCTTTACTAAAAGAGACAGGGTGCTCACTAGGAAAACAAACCCATCAGGTACTCGAGTTTGTTTGACCCGGGATTGCCAAAGCCGAGAGAGAAGCCTGGCAGGTTTCTTAGAAACTGCTCAGCATGTATTCACAATGACAATCTAGCTCATTCATTTACATGTAAAATTAAATCTGCCCAATTTTGAGAAAGCATATAAAGTGATATTTTGTCCTTGTTATTCAAATGGTAAAACAGTTATAATATGGGTAACCTATAGCACTTTATTTTCTCAAATTCATATTCAGCATATTGATATATACTGAATCTAAATCTTAAAACTTTTATTTAGAAATATTGTTCTTTTGGAAAACTAAGTATTTCTCCCAATGCATTTTTTACTGCTCATTGTTCTATACAGTAAAAGAATGGTTTTTTAACCTCCTATATTTGTAAAGACAGTTGTAAGTTTCTGTTAAAACTAAGAATGAATTCTCTAGCACCCTGAAATTACATTTGTAGCTTTAAGTGTTTGAGGCTGCTTAACCTTTACTTGTATATATTTTAGACCAGTGTCAAGATTCAGAAACGCGAACATTTTATCAAATTGGAGACTCGTGGGAGAAGTACGTGCATGGTGTCAGGTACCAGTGCTACTGCTATGGCCGTGGCATTGGGGAGTGGCATTGCCAGCCCTTACAGACCTACCCGGGTAAGTAACTCTATGCTTGCCCAGTGAGAATTATAGACAAGCTTAGAAAAACAGGAAGGGCAGCATCAGTGTCTGATTCCTAATACTCGGATGCCTAAGTTGGAATGTCCTTCATGACCATCTTTTTCTTTTATCGCCATCTAATAATCAATAGGATTTTTGACTAAAAGCATTTGCCTTTCTCCTCAATCAAGTAAAAGGTGCAGAAGGCTGTGAAAATGTGCTTGAATGTAATTTGTTTCTTAGAACATTCCATTAAATTAAAACACTGGCTGATTTCATCTCACACCTGGGAATAGAAACCATCTAGTGAGCTATGCTAAGAGTGAAGGGTTAGAGTTTTGTGTTATGGTTCTTAGCAGAGAAGCCATATAGAGAAATGACATGAAATGCAGTACAGGGTACGGGTTCCTTTGGTTTTCCCTCCAGGCTGCTTTTTCGTCAAAGTTTTCATTTGTTTGATCAGTTGGTGTGTGAAACAAAGTACTCTGGGTCAAGAATTGAGTAACTGGTCAGTTCTCCACCCACGCAGTTCAAATACTCTGAAATGTTTGTTGCTGGGGCTTTTTCAGGTCACAGGGCATAATTAAAATGAATTAGTAATGGCCTTACTGATTTATTTTTTTTAATTGAATTTAAGTTCCACTGAGTGATTAATTATTAAAAAAAGGGTTGAATGATAAAAGTCTAATTTTTAGGCATCAATTATTTGAGCAAATACTGGAGTACAAAGCTTCCGAGGCTTCCGTTAACTTTAGACTTAAAACACGGCCTACGTTCAGAAATAAAAAGGAAAGATTTGTCAGGGCCTCAGAATCTGCGTGTGACAGAAATGAAGATTAAGTTCACTAAGTCCCTCCATAATGTGATAAGAAATTTGCTATCCTAGATAACAAGATATGAGACAGTTTGGTCGAAGGCAGAATTCAGCGAGGCATGGGCTCAAGTTCTGTCTCTGCTTCTAGAGAGATGCATGTGAAGCTTCACTCACTCTACAGATGAAGTTTCTCCATCTATAAAGTGGAGAGATCGTAGCTGCTTACTTTACTCTTCACATTCTTTCCAGCCCTAACAGACTGACAATATGATCCTGAGTACTGCCCAGGTACACTCTTCCCACGACCTTGGAAGAGGTCCTGCACTCCTCAAGCCTTATTAGCCATGGTCGGGCTTATCAGGGTGACTTTGCTTTACGCAGGTTCCCAGCACAGATCGACCTGGCTCTAAACTGAATTTCATGGTGAATTTGGGTATAAGAATCATTTGAAAATTTTTTTTATTTCGTAATTTTTAAAACTGTGGTTGCAGAATTACCATATGTTCAGAAAATATAATTGTGCTTTTTTTCTTAATTATGCAGTCAGAGGACAGAAACTTCTAAGTTGATCATACTTTCCAGTTTCTATGTATGCGATTGCTATTGGAGTGGTGTGACAATCTACTGAAAGTGATTTTCTTCTCACTGATTTTGAGAGAACATTTTGTCTTTGGAAAGAAGCTGGTTCACGTAGCTGCTGGCTGGAAGCATTTCCATGGACATGTCAGAGGAGGAGCTTAGATGGGAAGGAATCCTTCTGTGCTGGACTCTTTACGTGTGATCTTGTTCCTAGTCTTTGGAAAGATTAACAGTCCAGCCCATTGAATGTAGAGAGATTTAGGGGAGAGGGGATTGGTGGGTCTCCTCAGCACACAGCTTGTCTGAGTGGCCTATTTTCTCAGTAATTTGTGCTTCACACGAGGGTTCTAAGAGTAGTGGGGGCTGGGGGGGGGCGGAGAAGAAAGGGTAAACAGGTTACAGATAGATTGTCTCTGAGCCTTGGCCTGTCTCTCCCTCCAGCAGAGGATTTGTTGAGTTGTTCAAACCAACAGAAGATAAGAGGCATTCGGTTTGTCAATAAACAACTAGGAAGGCCCAGAGCTCAGCAAACTAAATAGAGAAAAAAAAAGGACTGAGTCGCAAACCCATAAATGTTTAACTTCTCCAGGGTCAGCTTTACTGGAAATTACTCATTTTGACTTTATTTTTAACTGGATTTTAAAGGACAGACTTGTATCATATCTTTATTTAACTATTTTACCGTTAGCCTGATCATACTGGGTAAGAGAGGGAGTAAAGTTTTCGAAACAGTGAGTAATTGTTCATGTAGGTTAATCTAAAAAGTTTTGCCTACTCACCAATTTTGAAAGGATGATCAAAATTTTAAATCCAAATAATGCAAATGATGCCAGAATTTTCAGATTTTTGGTTTTCCCATCATACGTGGAGTAAGGTAGAGCATAGCGATAAGCAGAATTTAATTGACCTTAGAAATAATGTACAGGTAAAGTCTCTACTTCCTGGACAAATGCATGACCTCCCTTTGGAGTGCAGTGCAGTTCTCGTACAGGTGAGCTCTGGCACAAGCCTAACATTGAGAGCACAGACCTTCAAACCAGGGCTCGAAGTTTTAGAAAGAAAAGAAACTTCTGTAGGTTTGCTCCATCACTTTATTGCCCTCTTGGTAGCTGTGGAAGCGTGATTGGACATCAGGGTGGGCAGTGAAGGTCATTTGTGTTGCCTTTCTAAAAGTTTGTTTTAATAGACATTTAACCATCATAAACTTTTTAAAATTAAAGACTGTTTTTCTCAGGGAAGTGTTAGGTTCCCAGCAAAACTGAAAGGAAGGTTTTTCTTAAACTTCCTATCTCCACACATGGGTAGCCTATCAATACCTTCACCAGAAGGGTGCATTTGCCAGTAGGTGGACTTACGTGGAAACACCATTGTCACCTGCAGTCTGCGGTTAACATTAGGGATGGTCCTTGGTGTTGTGTATTCTATGGCATCATACACTGTTTGCCCTCAACATTATGATCACCAAACTAAGTAAAACTAAATAAATTAAGCATCTCTTTATCTGCGGAAATTATAGTAGGATTTCTTTAAAGGATCAGTATTCAAACAACTGTATGCCAATTATTGTAAATAATTTAAGAACACGATTCCTGTGTTGACTGATTTACATGGAAGTAGTACTTTAAATCATTACATCTTTGATATTTTGCTTCAGTTTTTTAAATTTAAATTTTATTTTTATCTTCACCTAAGCATTTGCTTATTGATTTTAGAGAGAGGGAAAGGGAGGGAGAAAGAAAGGGGGAGAGAACATTGACTAGTTGCCTCTTATACCCACCCCACCTGGGACCTAACCTGAAACCTGGGCATGTGCCCTGACAGGGAATCAAACCTGTGACCTCTTGGTTTGTAGGATGATGCTCCAGCCAGCTGAGCCACACCAGCCAGGGCTCAATGTATATCTTTAAAAACGTATCTACATTGGAGAGAAGCTTCATGAACAGCAAGGGTAACTGAAAGAGGGTCATGGCATTGACTTCTGTCAACTGATTAAAACAAAGATCCTTTCGTGTTCTGGGAAATATGTACTACTTTAGAAGGACAAATGAGAATTTTGTACATGAATTTTGGAAATCATGTGGCTTAGAAATAGTTACATTAAATGAATGCAAGATTCAAAAAGTATTTGTTAGTCTTCAGTCAACTTGAATTATTCCCAGTGTGAAAGTGAATATATTATTCTAGAACTTTTGTGTCTATACAGCTTTGCAAATTATGTACTTTTTCTGCTAGAGAAAACTTTATTTTCAAAGAGAATTTAACAGCAAAGATAATGAGTTTGAAAATCAATGTAGTGTTTTCTAAGAGCTGTCAGAAAATCTTAATCTGTTAATATCACGAAGTGTTTTTTTAAACATAGAATTTTGCTCTGTTTGACAGAGTTGCCTGTTAGAAATTCTTGAAAAGGTTATTATAAGAAATTTTATTGTTATTTCTAGTAAGTTGAATGTTGATTGACATAAAAAGACAGAGTTTAGGGAAAAAATAGTGTTATGTTTTGCTAGCATAAATTATTCAGTTATTCTTTATTTTGAATTGAATCTACACCATTAAGAAATTAATTCTACTTCCCTTATTTTCATTTTAAAAAGAACTAAAACCATACTTTATATCAATATGTGGAAATACTAAATAAATTTAATGTATCCAGCAAAATGTCATTTTAGTTGATAACTGCTTTAGAAAGAAAAATTTCTCTTAATAATTTGACCAGGCCCTGGTCAGGTAGCTCAGTTGGTTGGACCGTCATCCTGATAAATCAAGGTTGCAGGTTCAATCCTCAGTCAGGGTCAGAACACATGCAAGAATCAACCAATGAATATGTAAATAAGCGGAACAACAAATCAGTCTCTCTCTCTCTCTCTCTCTCTCACAACCTCATTCTTAATCTCTCTTTCTCTCAAAATCAATAAAAAATAATAATTTGACCAAATATAGTATGATTTTTAGAATAAACTTACCACATAAAAATAAAGTAACTTTTCCCCCCCAAATGATGATTAAACTGATGAGAAGTAAAACTGTCTTTAACTAACACTCATGTCTATTTGTCTAAGAGTCTACCCTATTTAGAAATATATTTGTTTTACATCATGTCGTGTGGGCTTTGGAATGTTGTTTTCTTCTTAGGTGGTAGATTCATTCCTGATGCAAGCTTCCCCAAACCACAGTTTGCTTCAAAGAAGCTAAATATAATAAATAAATGAAATGTATAGTCAATATTACATTATTTGTGTTATGATAGTCTCACATTTTCTTATAATTCTTACTTGGAAAATGGAGAAGAAAGTAAGCTAAGGCATTTTTTTTAAATGCACTTATTTTATTTTTTAAAAAATGTGAAAGTTCTATTGGCAGTTCTCAGGATAAACAATAATTTATCTGCTAAAAAAGGAATTTGTTGTACTGATTTCCAATGTCAATGTGTAAAAGCCTGATTCCAGAAAATTCTTACTATATTCACACTTCGTGGTAAGCAACACTTTCTTTAATGATGGCCTTCCACGTGCAGTAAATCTCGAGTTGTAGTGAGCGAATACTCAAGATAAGCATATCTCCCACTTTCATTGACAGGCACCTCCGGTCCCGTCCAAGTCATCATCACGGAGACCCCCGGGCACCCCAACTCGCACCCCATCCAGTGGAATGCCCCAGAACCCTCCCACATTACCAACTACATCCTCAGGTGGAAGCCTGTGAGTATCCATCCAGAGACCGGACACTGAGTCTCCCGAAATGAACAAATTCTCAATTTTTTTTTTCAGTTTTTGAGCCAATAGATTTTCATTATCCACATCACATTAATATTTATTTGATGACAAGACAATGTGAGCAATCAATTGACATACAGATTTAGCTTTTTATGGTGTTTAGAAAAATTTAGTTCTTTATGTTAGAAAGATCTCAGCAAGGACTTAGAAATGATGATGCTTAAAATTATTCTCCCCCCACATAGGAAGAGAAGCTAAAGTTTTCATATGTTTTACCACTCCATCAAAAGGAAAGAAAAATTGTTGGCATCATTTTCATCATTTGGGAAAAAATAGCCAAATTAATATTTTTTTCTTTTTGCTTACTTTATAAGTGGTCATTTCTTAAAAACTGACTTTTGACCCTCTGTGCAGTTATTTAGATAGAAGGGGAAAATGCTGAGAGGGAGTATAGATGAGGGATGATTGTTTATTTAAAGAATGAATGGTAATTTCCTCGTAAGAAATGTCTCAAAGTTGAAGAATCACAACTAGGAGGATGTTGACCCTCCAAGCTCTAGTTTCTCCTGCCCTCTCACACGTGCCCTGCTAAATCTCCAAAATTCTTGACTCAGAGTTTGAGAAACATTATTTTAAACACTGGAGAAAAATGTCTGTTTTTAATCACAACTACTGAATTCTAGCAATTAAAAAATATGAAATAAAACAAACCATTTGACCATCTCATGCAGTTGTATTTTAAGCTCTCCAGGAAAAAGTTCAAACTGTTGTAATCATTCTTTTTCTTCTTTCCTCTCACTTGAAAAGAGCCATTCGTAGAACTTTGTGTCTAATGATGTCAGTCGACTGTATCAATGTTTTCTTCGTTCTATGATACCGTTTTGTCTCATCTTCTCATCTCATCACTAATTTTATTTGCTATAATCTTAACCTTGCAGTATTGTGTGAAATCTCTGTAATAAGAGACATTTACAGGTAAATATAAAATGTACATTAAATTATAATGTTTTCAAAGGGTAGAAATAATGAATTTGTTTTAGATTTTTAAAAAATATTTTATTTATTTCTTTTCAGAGAGAGGGGAAGGGAAGGAGAAAGAGAGGGAGAGAGAAACATCAATGTGTGGTTGCCTCTCATGTGTCCCCCACTGGGAACTGGCCTGCAACCCAGGCATGTGCCCTGACTGGGAACCGAACCACGATCGCATGGTTTGCAGGCCTGAGCTCAATCCACTGAGCCACACCAGCCAGGGCTAGATTTTTAACAACTAAAAAATTCCAGGCTTATTGACACCTCTGAGCTGGGTCTCTTCGTCCAGCCCCGAGGACATGCTGTTGTTTACAGCTTATTTCTCCCATTTATAATGTTAGTAAGTGTTAAATACTCATCCACTCTCAAAATCGTTTTTCAGGTTCTTCTTGAAGGTGTGTCCCCCAAGAGTTTACTGTCTAGTATTTTATTCTGATAGCTAACTAAAAAAAGTTCACATTGAATAAAAGAAATCTGAGCTAATTGTAGTGATTAATTTTAATTTTTTGCACAGTGTATTTAAAATTTAAATTTAAAAAAAGTGACAGCATCACTTTTATTTACTCCAAAAATATAAATGGACACCAAAATATTTGAATTATTGAAACTGGTGGACTGGATATTTTAAGAGAATCAATGGTCTTAAAAATGTGTTTTGACTTATATTAGTCTAGAATATTTACCACTTAAGAGGATCTCATCCGGTCTAAAGTAAGGGCATTTCTTTTCCACACACTTTATTGCAAGGAGTTGTGTGATCTATGACATATGAGTGAAGTTGGATGGGATGTGAAATGCAGGGTGCGGGCAAAAAGTAAATAAACCGAAATCACATACTTTTGCGGTCTTGCCCACAGTTGGTCACCACTTCTGATGGGCTAGTTTGCATCCAAGAATGAGCCTTCTCAGGAACTAGGAACTGACTCATGAAGCGATGCTATGTCTTTGACTGTTTCTGCAAGGACAGCAACTTGCATTGTGACCCATCAAGGGAACAACAGAATGTATGGCTTTCCCCACTTCAGAGAGGGATATATATAGATGTATCTATATATGTCTGTTAATTGTAGAAATGAAAAAGTTGGGAGAGGCAAAACAGGTTCATCATCTTGCGGCAGTGATACTCAATAATTCATCTGGCAAGAAGGGAGGTGCTTAGCACCTGCGACTGTAACCTTGAGCATGCCACAGAACTCTGTTTCTGCACCTGCAAAAGCAAGGTCAATACTATCATTAACTTGAAGGAACGGAGTTGCAGATGAAATGGGAGAGTGCAAGTGAAATAGCACAGAATTTAGTACATTGTAAACTATCAGCAAATATTAGGTATAAAAATAATTATCCTTAATATTCACAGACCCTGCCACAGGTCCGCATCCTGATTCTAATTTTCCATGATTTCCCTCCACAACAAAAATGCAAAGCTCCCTCATCCTTTGAAGATTATGCCACTTTTCCTCCGAATGGTCTCTGTTGTAAACACTTGTGTGATTTGTCTTTTCCTTTACATTTCTAGAAAAACTCACCCAATTGGAAGGAAGTCACCATTCCAGGCCACTTAAACTCATACACTATTAAAGGGCTGAGGCCAAATGTGGTGTATGAGGGGCAGCTCATAAGTATCCAGCAGTACGGCCACAAAGAGGTGACCCGCTTTGACTTCACCACCACCAGCACGAACCCAGCAGTGAGCAGTATGTACCCCGCCACCCCATCTGCACCCCAGTTTCTCAGAGCTGGGCTCTCCTCGGGAAGAGCTTCACTTCTTGATTCCTAGTCTCCCATGGGCGACACCCACATTTACTGTTCTAAAAAACTTATATTCTACCGACGGTAGTCCATTTTCTCGATGGCTGAAGGCTCTCTTTCCCCTTTCTGTGACTCTCTAGGCAACACAGTGACAGGAGAGACAACACCCTTCTCTCCTGTGGTGGCCACTTCGGAATCTGTGACTGAGATCACGGCCAGCAGCTTTGTGGTCTCGTGGGTCTCAGCTTCGGACACGGTGTCAGGATTCCGTGTGGAATATGAGCTGAGTGAAGAGGGGGATGAGCCTCAGTACCTCGGTGAGTGAGCTCCGTGTGTCGTTGTGGGGGGGGCCGGGAGGTCCTGGCGTTCAGGCGGGTGGTCCGTGAGCTGTGGAGGTAGCTGGAGCTCAGCGGGAACACAGTACTTTCCAGTGTGAGAAAGGGAAGTGGCTGAGCATCTCTAGAACCAAACTGGGTTTTTCCCGAGCCATGTTCACGGTTTCCTGGGCCCTGATATGTCTGCCTGGGCACAGGCCCACACAGCAGAAGCATTTTCTTTATGGTGGTAATTGCCAGGATGAACACTGCCATAGAAAATATTAATATTGGGGGGGGGGGGTGCAGAGCAGCCGCTTTTGTGCTTTGCAAATTCTCATGTTTAGGGGTCTTTTAAAAGCTTGATTGTTGAACAATCTACATACTGAAGAGTACACAGATCGTGAATATAGAGCTCAGTGCATTTATTTTTGTGTTTTAATTTTTAAAGATTTTATGTATTTATTTTTAGAGAGAGGGGAAAGGAAGGAGAAAGAGAGGAAGAGAAACATCAGTGTGTGGTTGCCTCTCTCACACCCCCCACCAGGGACCTGGCCCACAACCCGGGCATGTGCCCTGACTGGGCATCAAACTGGCGACCCTTTGGTCCATAGCCCGTGCTCAGTCCACTGAGCTACACCAGCCAGGGCGCAGTGACTTTTTAAAAACGACTTTATTTATTTATTTTTACAGAGGGGAAGGGAGAGAAACATCACTGTGTGGTTGCCTTTTGCATGCCCCCTACTGGGGACCTGGCCTGTAACCCAGGCATGTGCCCTGACTGGGAATCAAACCGGCGACCCTTTGGTTTGTGGGCCGGCTCTCAATTCCCTGAGCCACACCAGCCAAGCACTCAGTGGATTTTTATAAAGTGAATACACCCACGTGACTGGCACCCAGATCAAGAAAAAGAACATCCTTCCTAATACACTCCCCATCATCCCCTACCCATGACCATGACCCTGGCTCCCAGTTACTTTGTTTACAATGGACTATATAAGAACAATGTTTACGAGAGGACTATGGTTACAAAGTTAGAGGTGTATTTCAAAAATTATGCATCTTTAGAGAACAAATTTGCAAAATGAAAAATAGAAACAAAACGATCCCATTGCACATTGATAATAATTATTGAGTATCCATTCGTACATTTCCTTCAGTCTTCTCCCCACCCCACATGAATATATAGTTTTTAAAAAAATCTTATCCGAGGCTTTGAAATCATCTGAGGGGCTGGTATTCCAGATTGGTAAACTTTCCTTTTTATTTCAAAGATCTTCCAAGCACAGCCACTTCTGTGAATATCCCCGACCTGCTGCCTGGCCGAAAATACATCGTAAATGTCTACCAGATATCTGAAGAAGGAGAGCAGAGTCTGATCCTGTCTACGTCTCAGACAACAGGTATGTGTGTACTGCCTGGTGTCAAATAATCTTACATTGTTGCTGTTGCTGTAAAACACACCTACAGCAGTATTTTCTGACTGTTTTTCCTTGTCCATTTTTTTCTTCGTTAGCGCCCGATGCCCCTCCTAATCCTACTGTGGGCCAAGTTGACGACACCTCAATCGTTGTTCACTGGAGCCGACCCCAGGCCCCCATCACAGGTCAGCTTGGCTTCCTCTTCTTGGCTGCCTGTTAGTCTTGATGGCCTAGGAGGTGAGGGAGCAGATTCTGATCTGAGGACTGGCGTATCGCTTAGCTGTCCTACATAGATGCTAGTCTAGGGTAGAGAAGGGTGTGTGTGTGTGTGTGTGTGTGTGTGCATGATATAGTAATTAAGAATGTTATTATTTTCATGTCTTACATCTCTGCTTTCATATGGATCATTCCCCCCCTCAAATCCATTTTATCAACCCTTACACACACACACTCTCTAAAGCTGTTCATTGATTTATTGAATCAGGTATTCCTGTAGTAGAAAGGGGATAATTTTTCTGAAAAATCTCACACTGAGATTTATACTAAAAAAGGAAGCTGAGTTGCTTCCGCGCGTGGCTCATAGGTGCTTCCACTGTCTCTGGAATTCCTGAAATGCAGACAGTGCTCAGCAGCCCATGCCCCGGGGGGCCCATGGATTGCTTCCCGCACGCAGAGCTGTAAGAGACAAGCCCAGTTTCACATGCATATTTATTTTCACCTCGTGCCTTCTCTACCAGGCATGTAGTAAGGATCTCGGGTCTTTAAGAATAATATTTTCTATTAAAACAGTTTGCATGGCTGTTCTGAGCTCATCTCTGTGCTGAATACTCTTTAAAAGAAGTGGCAGCATCAAGTAAGTCAGCTTTTCAAGAATCACTGTTTCTTAACTACTCAAGCAAGACGCTGAGGTCTGCGGACGCTTCTGTACACCTCTGTGTCGTAAAACGGCAGCCCTCACTCTGTTCTCCGTGGATCTGCAGGCTACAGAATCGTGTATTCGCCGTCCGTCGAAGGGAGCAGCACAGAGCTCAACCTTCCCGAGAGCGCCAACTCTGTCACCCTCAGTGACTTGCAGCCCGGCGTGCAGTACAACATCACCATCTACGCTGTGGAAGAGAACCAAGAAAGCACCCCCGTTTTCATCCAGCAGGAGACCACCGGTGTCCCCCGTCCAGGTAACTGGACTTCAAGGACTCTTGCCTTGCTTTCTTATCTATCCCTCAGGGCTTAGTCAGGTAACAGCTTTAACCTTCGTTGGGTTCGAGTGGTGAATCTCAACCTTTTTCATCTCACTGCACACATAAACTAATTACTAACATTCTGCAGCACACCAAAAAAAATTGTTTTTGCCATTCTAACCAAAAAATAGGTATCATTTTGGTTTATTCACACTGGATAGTTATTGTTGTGTTGGCTGTTGTCATTTTTTAAAAATTTGACATAGTCATAGTCACATTAAGTCATAGGAGGCAAACACAAGGCCCGCGGGCCGAATCCGGCCCTCCACCTGGTTTTATCCGGTCCAGCACCTTGTTTCTACCTGGGGCGGTGCCGAGCTCCTGGCCCCTAGTTAAGGAGCAGTTACATTTACACAGTCCTGAATTACATTCTGTCCTTTGAAGGCCATCATGAGGCTGATGTGAAAATGAGTTTGATACCCCCGGGAAGGGAAAACAGGTCGGTTGCCCTGACTAAATAGTCAGGTGTTGCACACTAAAAACTTGTGGCACATTGATTGAAAATCACTGTGTTAGAGAAACAAGACAATCCTCGAACTGTGTTCATTCTTCAGCCTGCCAAGGACCAGCAGTGTAGGAAGAAAGAATAATTGTCTCTGTGGGGGAGTTGTTTTATCTGTCAATAGTTCCTGTATGCCGATAATTGAATAGATTAGTTTATCCTTGAATTTATGAAATTTGGCTGAAATGGCCTCATTATAAAATAACATCAAAGCTGATTGCTGGCTTTCCTGATCAAAAACTGACACCATAAAATCTTCATATTTTTCCCTAGACACTTAAGGGTCAGTTCATCTACTGCTCTTAAGTATTACAAAATGATTTCAGTAAAATGAAAATGACCACAGATTTTTCTGTGGTCTCAATATTTTCAGTAGGACATCTCATATGTTGGAACATCATCTACTTACCTACATATTTTAAATAACACCTTCGGATGTCATATGTCATAAGCTGTATGACTGAGCCATGGAAATTAGCAGAGAAGCATACTGTCTAGGGAAGAGATGAAACCTAGTCTTGCTCTGGATCGGGAGGCTCTTTGAATTGCCTTACACAACTCAGGAGACTGGCTTTTTAAGAACAGTCTGCAGCAGGCACGGTGAATGACCAGTTGGCTCTTGTCTATTAGATAAAGTTCCCTCTCCCCGGGACCTGCAGTTTGTGGAAGTGACAGACGTGAAGATCACCATCATGTGGACACCCCCGGAGAGTGCCGTGACCGGTTACCGAGTGGACGTGATCCCCGTCAACCTGCCCGGAGAGCACGGGCAGCGGCTGCCCGTCAGCAGGAACAACTTTGCGGAAGTCGTAGGGCTGTCCCCGGGGGTCACTTACCACTTCAAGGTCTTTGCCGTGAACCACGGGAGGGAGAGCAAGCCTCTAGTAGGAGAACAGACCACCAGTAAGTCCTGCTCCCGACCACACCTCCGCCCCATTTCTCCACCCTCACTGCCAAGCGGGGATACCTGTGCAATTCACCATATACTCTTGGGTCCACAGGTAGAGGAAAATATTTGGCCGGTAGGGGACAGAGAACAGTGGACATAAAGCACATGAAACTTGGAAACAAAACTCGGATGTGGGTGCTAAATGCTAACCCTTTCCCCGAATACGTGTGTCAGTGAAATGGCAGAAGGGAATTTAAGAGAACCTAATTTTCCTTGCTAACGGAGGCATGGATTGACAGTTTGAGGGCATTTTTTTGTGTAAATAAATGTATCTAGATCAAACTTCAGGTATAAGTTCCTAACTCTTTTATAGTAGAAATAAAAGAGTTCCTAGTTATAGTAACAAATAGTTATTGTAGTACAAATAACAACTGCCAAGCTCTAGGCCCTCTGGCCAGTGCCTGTAAGCAGTATCCTCGTATTTAGTCCCTGTGTTGACCTAATGAGGAAAGTCTCACTGTTGTCCCGACTGGGTACATGAAGAAACGAAGGCTCCTAAAAAAATTCTGCAGCTTGTGAATTCGCACGTCTAGGAAGAGATGGAACTGGACACATGGGGAGTCTCCTTGACTCCCAAGTTCATGCTCTCAGTTACTGCACTTAACTACTTCGTAAACATTTTCTGTCCCTCACAAGTGTTTTAAATTACTGCAGAGTAACTGCTAGTTATCAAACTCAAGAAGGGAACTCACAATTTTTGTGAGTTTTTTTCATCAGTGTCCTACCGTGATTCTAACGTTCTGAGTATAATGGTTATAATTATCGTCTAATTTCATAATTATTGTCTAATCAGAATCATGTGAAAATTACTTTTATTTCTCCATCAAAAGAGTATTCAATAAATGTGGAATGTACTGTTTTTGCTCCATGTGGAGATTTCTTTTTGCCCTCGTTTTAGCGGGCTTATTTCTCTTTTCTTAACTTGCTTGGCTCAGCGGAGTGAATTGTGGTATTTACAAGTTTTTTTTTTTAAATGCCACCTCTTTAATGTTAGTATCATCCGAGAGGGTAATGAGAAAGGCATGCTGGACAATTAGATTTTCCACAGAATCATAACCAAGCAGAGAAGGGCAGCAATTTCTCATGACTGACGCGGAGTTTTGCAAAGTCCTCTGTAGCGCTCAATCTCTTCATGGCTTCACTGTCGCCAAGGTTTTGACACAGACTATTTATTTCAGCCTTCAGAAAACTTGAGCAAACTCAGTCAGACTTTAGAATGTCAGTATGATAATTACTGAGGTTCACAATTTCTTGCTGTGTCTTATCCTGTTCTCTAGAATTGGATGCTCCCACTAACCTCCAGTTTATGAATGAAACGGACTCGAGCGTGATAGTGACCTGGACACCCCCTCGAGCCCGGATAGCTGGGTACCGGCTGACTGTGGGCCTGACCCGGGGAGGCCAGCCCAAGCAGTACAACGTGGGGCCCTCCGCCTCGCAGTACCCGCTGAGGAATCTGCAGCCGGGGTCCGAGTACACCGCCACCCTCGTGGCCGTGAAAGGCAACCAGCAAAGCCCCAGAGCCACCGGAGTCTTCACCACTCGTAAGCTAAGTTCAATGTCTTTTCTTAGTGATTCCATTGGTTCTCACCTGTAATTATGTTCTCTGGTCTTCATCCATTTTTTAAAAAGTTAACTTAAAAAACTTAGTACAAGATTTAAATAAGAAATAAATTTAAAAAAACATTTTTAAGGATTGAAAATTATGCATCTCATAGTGTGGTCCGTGAGCTGTTTGTTACTGGACAATAAGGAGCTTGTGCCAGAATGTAAATCAGGAAGCATGCTGTTTCATCCAGTTAATGATTTTTTAAAGCAAAATTTTCTTGATGAAAGAAGCAGTGCGTTAAATTACATATGTTGCCAAGCTCTTTATTTGCTCCAGGACTAACTCTCTGAGTAACATGGTTTGAAGCACCCAGTTATATAAAAATTGAACCCTGTCGTATTAAATGAATTCACCAAATACTGGTTAAGACACGAAAACATTAGGACCTCTGACTACAGTCTAATACTTTGAGTGCCAAATGATGGCAGTAAGTTCAGAATAAAAATGTTTACTGATTGAACAGACACCAATGGAACATGAAGCTGAGGAATGGGTTCTTTTTATGAGTGTTATTCTGCAGCAGAACAGAATAAGTTTGTAAAAAAATTTAACCTTTCTTAAATTTCTCTTGAAATTCCACAGAAGGAAAATACTGACAGTAATTTTTTGGTCATGTCTGTCCTTTTTCTGCTCAACATTTTACAGGAAGCGGCCTTAAATCTCTTACATATCTACACCACAGTAAAAGCCTGTCTTCATTAACTGACTTCTACTAAGATACATTCTCATTCACATTATAAAGAATGATGAGACCCCTTATTCCTAGCTGGGTATTATTTGTTTTTAATCTGACATTTTGGATTAGAGAAGCATCTAACATAACACTTTTAAAGCTTATATATATATAAATATATAGATGTATATGTATACACACCCACACACACATGCAACTATGAACTAGTTTACAATTTTCTGAAAGCTTTAACAAATCTTACTCTTTGACTAAAAATATAAATGTTAAAAAGTATTCAAAAAGTGAATATAAGTTCAAAAACAGCTATGGAATTTATTTCCCAAAGAAATTGTCTATAAATTTTTTCCTATAAGAATTTATAATTTACCCAAAATTTACTTTCATTTAAACTTGGTGTGTGGAGTTATCTTTTTTATTCCTACATGTAAGGTATATTTTATACAGGCTCTTCTGTTGGATAGAGTGCTTATAAAAGAAATTTTTTTTTAATTTTAAAGATTTTATTTATTTTTTTTCTAGACAGAGGGGAAGGGGGAAAGAAAGAGAGGGAGAGAAATATCAATGTGTGGTTGCCTCTTCAGCACCCCCACCTAGGGACCTGGCCTACAACCCAGGCATGTGTCTTGACTGGGAATTGAACCAATGACCCTTTGGTTCTCAGGCTAGTATTCAATCCACTGAGCCACACCTGCCAGGGCAGAAAAATAATTTTTAAGGATAATACTAACAATAATTAAGTGGAGCAAAGTGGGCTAATAGGGGCTATTTTAAGTACTGGGAGACTTCAATATATGGAGCATGTTCTTTTATTCTCTGCACAATACAGTTATACAAAATGTAACTATATTTGAATTAAAGTGCTAATAATCAAAACTGATTTCATTAGCTAGAGGTTACCATAGTGCCTTGCATATAGTATATTTAAAACAATACTTTATAGATGATTGACTGAGGAAAGAATGATAATAAAAACAGCCCCAACAAGCTTAGATTTAAGTAAAGCTATGTCAGCAGGGAATTCTATAACTTTTGTTGGACATGCAGTACTGTCTGAGGCTACAAACATCAGCAGGGCTCGCATATTTTGGAAATTACTTTTAAGTTTCTGTAGCTTTACACTGTCTTACTAAGCTGAGTTCTGGGAATAACTTTGCTTGGATTTTGTAACTTGTACTAAATTCTTAAGAGCAATACGATGGGGGTGGGGGGTGTTTCTGGGCGAAATTCAGTTTACTCCTTTGTAAATCGGGTAAATTTTGTTTCTTTTAACAGCCAGGTTAGGCTGCTCTTCCCCTGACAAGATCTGCCAGAACCCGTGGCTCACACTGACAGTCACATCCTTTGTTTGACATCAGTCTGTGGGTTTGTGGTTTGGAGATTTTCCTCTAATGGTCTTCCCAGGCAGGGAGTTTCATCTCAAACTCGAGAAGGGCCTGGCTGGCTGGCTCAAGCAATAGAAAATACCCAATCTTCAAGCCCAAGACAGTTGAGGACAAAATAGTTTGGAAAAGTTGGGGCTTTCACAGATGTGTTCAGTGGAAGAAGCTGACTGCGGACTGGATTGCCTCTTGTGACCATTGACACAGTCACACAGGGCTGGCCGTGGCACCTTGGCAAGTTCCCGCAGTAGCCAGAGGTGTAAGATTTCAGGGACACTGGAAAGGCATCACGGGTCTCCCCTTCCAGTGCTCCTCCCCTCAAATGCCATTAAAAGAATAACATACTTAGGAAACCGCTCACTAAACCAGTAGTGAGCAATTAGAACAGTCATTTCAAAGTGGCCCCCACACACATTTTATTTTTCCCCATACAGTAGTAAAAAAATTTTATTTTAATTGCACATGAAAGCCAGACAAAAAATTTTTTGAAAAAAAGAAGAGAAGGAAAGAATTACACTACTGGGTCTGAATTCCCACATGACAAAATCAAAACAATTGACTGGACTGAGTAGAACCTGAGTCTTCAGACTTCAATCCCCATTTGTACAACTCTGGAGGGCAATTCTTTGTCTCACCAGCCATTCATGATTCACACTAAATATATTTAATAGTTACTCTCCCCTGCTCCTAGAGGGCACAGAATTTGGTTGGGATGTAAAGAGGAAGCAATTGCGAAGGCCCCAAATATGTGACCAGCACCATCAACACACTTGGAACCCTTAAATCTGATGACCCTTCTCAAATATCTGGCTTCTGAGACCTCACCTTTTCCATAGCAGCCAGTGATTGAAATGCTTATTCTCCCTATTGCAAGATTCAGTCCCTCAGCCAATTACATTTAAGAATTCTAAATTTATAACAAGATTTGTAGGATTGTTGAAAATGTCTGTCCTAACTTTCTGTATACCTACTTTTTTTAAAAATTATTTTTTAAAGTAATATTTTCACTAAGAGAAATAACAGTGCTGTTCAGGATGCTAGAATATGAGAGTAAACTTTTGTTACAATACCTGATTCCAGTGGCGGAACATTAAATTTCTGTAGTGTTGTCGTTCTGAGTGAATGCTCTCATATTTCAGGAAAGACTTTTTAGAATTTATAAGTATATCCACGATGGCCAATTTTGTTTAACTTTCATATGGCATCCTTTATTGCAACAAAAAATAATTGACCATCATCATCAAGTAATTCAGCATAAAGCTATTTTTAGGTCATTGTCCAAAATTTAACCATGGTTCTCAAGCTAATGATTTAGAGACAGAATGATAATTAGTTGGCAGTGACCACGTTCACATACTAACACTATAAACTTCAACCTCAACTGTGATGAAAAGATGTTAACTTGCACCTTAGCTGGGTCACAGGATTTGGCAGCCCATAAAGACTGAGAAGCCCTGACCTGCTCTGGTCCTCATCCAGTGAAGGAATATATGTGGAATTCTGGGTCCACTAGCTGTGCAGAAACTGAGGTTCTTGATGGAAACACTCATCATCTGCGTTCTCTGCAGCCGTCTGTGAGGCCAAGGTTTTGACGTGTGTATTGATCCTGTCTCACAGAGCAGCCTAGGGGGTCCATCCCACCTTACAACACGGAGGTGACGGAGACCACCATTGTGATTACGTGGACACCTGCTCCGAGGATCGGATTTAAGGTAAATCGCAGATGTTCCTAACGTCTTGTGATACAGCCCCGAGGTGCCCTCGCCTTTCTGGACGAGGCAGGAACAAGACTTCCAGAAGTCTGGGATCTAGACTGTGTTGCCTTCTCCTGTTCCTACCTCTCTGACCACAGTGTCGGGGCAGAACAATACTTCTGCTTCTCTGGATGGCTGGAGGGATGGACTCAGGGGACGCAAGTGCTTTGCAAAGGCTAAAACATTAAGCATGGAACTGTTAGCTGTTATTATCTTAATTTCTCTAGCCTTTCCCTGGGGGAACTACATTTAAAAATATAAATGGAACTCCATTTGATGTGTTGTTCTAAATGAGTGTCAACAAGTTCATGAAAGCCCATTTGGGGAGACAGATTAAACTCGGTCACATTTTTATCCCTTTGGTTTCATTCAAAGCCCCCGTGGGTCCACCCCTTAATAGAAGTTAAGATTAAGGTCTTCCCCATAGATACATACATCATGTCCTTCAAAGTGATGATGTTAGGGAAGCAGTGAACACAAATGAATGTTTAAAAGAAAACTTTTAGCATTTAGAACATATATAGAGAAATATTTTTGGAAATCCCCATGATTATTTGTTTAGAAAAATACACTGAAGTTCATGTCTTTGAGGCATGCAAATGGCCATATTGACGATCATGCTAGCGTGCCTTTTAAATTTTTCTTAGTAGTGTCATTCTGACCTCCAGAAGCCTCGTAATGTACAAAGGATGTCTACAGAGTTGAACATCAATGACACAGTGTTACTTAGGCTTTTGAAAGAAACTCTTAAACAGATTTAAAATTATGGGCACATTCATGTATTATCCCGCAGTTGAACCTACAAACACACATCTTCAAAAGGAGTATTTTTGCAGTACAAAGTGTCAGGGGCTAGAACCCCAAATGGCAACTAAGAAGTGAACTGAATATCGATAACTCATTAAAGAGAGAGCTGGGGGATTTCTTCCAGTGAAAAGAAAATAGCAGCGGGCTTCCATGTGGCCGAAGGCCCCTGTGTAGTTATGGTTTGTACCGGGAGATGATTTATTGAGCAAAACAGTAGCTAATGACATTTCCCTGGAAGCTTTCATTACCACCACTTTTGTGTGGTTTGGGAAGACACCTCCATGACCCCAACCCCTCAGGATGGAGAATCTCCAGCTAAAGTATCTAACAGAGCGAAAGTAGGGCCCCAACCCATTCCCCAGGAAAAGCCCATGGTGCACTTCCCCAGGCGGTTTCCACGGTCTACAGAACATAACCACAGCCCCTCGGCAGTAACCCAGCTCTGGAATTATCTGTCCTTCATGTTTATTTTGCTTTCCTCCCTCTAGCTGGGTGTGCGACCGAGCCAGGGAGGGGAAGCCCCACGAGAAGTGACTTCAGACTCCGGGAGCATTGTTGTGTCCGGCCTGACTCCGGGCGTGGAATACGTGTACACCATCTCCGTCCTCAGAGATGGGCAGGAGAGAGGGACGCCCATTGTCAACAAAGTGGTGACACGTAAGAGGAGCTCTTTGCTGTGCTTTCTTCTTTAAAACTGTTCCACTTTCAAAGAATGGCTAAGATTGTGTCATTCTTACTTACGACAGTGGCCCAGGGGAGAAAGAGCCACCCTGCTATTATTAGCTATTTCTAAATTTTAAGTAGCAAGTTCCATTCATGTCATACATTCTACGTCACTGGAAGTGTCCTTTTTGTTTCAAGAATATTTATGAACTGGCAAGATGAAAAGGATTCCGCTAGCGTTATAAAACGGTTGATCATAAAAAAAAATTCTGTCAGGGGATTACTGTCCACCATGGTTTTATAATACAACATCTATGTTTTTACTAATTCTTTTAAAAAGAGAGAGAGAGGAAGGAAGGGAGGGAGGGAGGGAGGGAGGGAGGGAGGGAGGGAGGGAGGGAGGGAGGGAGGGAAGAAGGAATCACAGGGAAGGAGGGAAACATTCCACAGGTCAAACAACTTGTGTTAGCTTTAACTTTTAATTTACAATTTTTTTCCACACAGCCTTGTCTCCACCAACCAACCTGCACCTGGAGGCAAACCCTGACACGGGGGTGCTCACGGTCTCCTGGGAAAGGAGCACCACTCCAGGTGAGCCTGCGCTGGATCCTAGGGCACATGGGCGCTCCACCTTTCTGAGACAAACGTCTCAGAAACTGTTGCTCTCAGAGAAATACAGGTTTAAAATGATAAGTACCTACCCTTCTGTAAGAAATACGGGAGGACATGAGTGATCATCATGGACGGACAGGTAGGGTGTTATACTGCCTGTTTGTTTAAATCACAGGAAACAGAGTAAGGCAGAATCTTATGGAGCTGTAGGGCGTTGTGAGGGCTCAGGAGAAGGTTCTAGAAGGTGGTTTTTGCTCAGTAGCATTGAAAATTGCTGAACAACTGGATGAAACCATACTATATAATGTTCCTTTTATGGCTTATTGCAGATTCTATGTTTATAATTCAGTGAAGTTTCAGGTATTTTGTCATGAGTTGCACCACACAGAATCTCAGGGTGATGGGAGGTATAAATGGTCCGTTTTACAGAATGAAAAAACAGACTCAGAAAAAAAAACAACCTCTCCTCAGTCACAGATTTTAAATGCCACACCACTGGGGTTGTAGCTAAAGTGTTTCATACCCCTCCTCACACGAAGCATCAGGGACTGTATTTGGAACTTAATTATGTGTTTTTTACTTTATACTCAACACTGAGAAATTTGCTTAAGTGAAGTTCCATGACCATTTTTAAAACTTTAAATGGAGCTTTTGTGTAAACTCCATGTCCACACACATTGAAACTTATTTCTAGAATTCAACAGTGATTGAAGTTAGCTATAGCAGCATTCAAGTAATGCGATGTACTGTGACCGTGACTGGAGAAATTTTTGATATTCCTCACCTTTGCCAAGCCCATATGAGTCTCTTTAAATCAGAAATGGCTACCTAAAATGTAATTATTTTATTTAATATTGGTTATATTGGAAGAATCACTATTGAGATAACAGAATACACGTAATTGAGAAATTCTAAATTAAACAAAAACAGAAGTTCCAACTCATGATTTCATCCATAACTGTTATACTTCTTACTTTAAGGTCCACATGTACTTGGCTGGTGTAGCTCAGTGGATTGAGCGCGGGCCTGTAAAGCAAAGGGTCGCCAGTTCGATTCCCAGTCAGGGCACATGCCTGGGTTGCCGGCCAGGTCCCCAGTGGGGGACACATGAGAGGCAACCACACATTGATATTTCTCTCCCTCTCTTTCTCCTTCCCATCCCCTCTCTCTAAAAATAAGTAAAATATTTAAAATTTATTTATTTATGGGAAGGGAGAAAGAAGGAGAGAGAGACAGAGAGAGAAACATCAATGTGTGGTTGCCTCTTGTGTGTCCCCCACTAGGGACCTGGCCCACAACCCAGACATGTACCCTGACTGGGAATGGAACCGGCAACTCTTTGGTTTATAGATGCTCAATCCACTGAGCCACACCAGCCAGGACTAATTTCACTGTAATTTTAAAAACAGTTCTTACCTTTGCTCAGGCACACATCTAAGAAAATTATCTCTAATTATCTGATCAATGTGTATAATTGCATAGACTAAAACTAGCTCAAATATTTTTTTAATTATAGATTTTATATATTTATTTTTAGAAAGAAGGGAAAAGAGGGAGAAAGTGAGGGAGAGAAACATTAATTGGTGTCCTTTCTCACACCCCCAACTGGGGACCTGGCCCACAACCCAGGCATGTTCCCTGACTAGGAATCGAACCGACAACCTTTTGGTCTGGAGGCCAGCACTCAGTCCACTGAACCACACCAGCCAGGGCAAAAATATCCTTTTTAATCCCCCCATAAAGTAGAGTGATTTTGGTGAAGTTTTCATGGTCTATGGAAACATTGCTTAAGCCAAAGTTACACTATTTCCAAATGAGTGAATTTAAAACTAAGTTGGCAAATTTCATGCTTGCCAAAAGCTAGATCATTACTGTTTCGTCTGAATGGATAGCCTAGCCTGCCCATCTGGGTGGTCGCTAGTGAATGGAACGACCTCAGCATTTATTTCCCATCCATTTGGACTTCCTTGTCTGTACCACTCTAGTTTTTCCCCTGTGTCTAGTGACAGAATATACTATCTTGCCCTTTAGTAAGTTTAACTTAGATACACGTTCTCATTTACTTTAGTCTGTCCCTGCAGCCCCCTGGTCATCACTGTCTCTACTCATGTCCTCCTCCTCAACGCTCTTAATTGATTAATTGATATATTTATCAATTAATATCCTTTCTTTAGGATACATAGAGCCACTCCCCCCCCCCCCAACACACACAGTTTTCCTTTTCTCTTCCCTTCCTGTAAATCCCATACGAGGTTCAGACTTCGTTAGGACAGCCCACTTCGAATGATCGTAACATTGGAAGCCATTTCCCACTAAGCAGATGAAATGGCATGTTTCTCAGGTATCATGCAGATGACCCATTGTGGAAAATCAGGGTACAGTGGCACAAGGGTCATGGAATTGCGAGACAGGAAAGCCTTCAGTAATCACTTCCCTGTTAACAAGATTTTCTTTAAACCAAGGTTATTAATTCCTGCCTCAAAGGGTTGTTGTGAGCACTAGTGACAGTAGTGTTCCTTGATAAATGCCCTTTCTCCATTTGCCTTCGTGAGTTCATTGTTGGGGTCTAGTTTAGAACGCTCTGGGTTGCAAATCCTCCACTCAGTAACTTCTGCCTTTCTGTTTTCTGCAGACATCACTGGGTATAGAATTACCACCACCCCGACAAATGACCAGGAGGGATATTCTTTGGAAGAAATGGTCCGTGCAGATCAGAGTTCCTGCACTTTTGAAAACCTGAATCCTGGCCTGGAGTACAATGTCAGTGTTTATACTGTCAAAGATAACAAGGAAAGTGTCCCTATCTCTGATACCATCATCCCAGGTAATGGAAAAATAAGCTGTTATCCTCAGAATGGCCCTTTCAGTAAGAGCGGGGATTAACATCTTAATCCCTGGATGGTTGAGAGTGTCAGATATAGTTGGGATTTAATTCTGACCTCCCAAGCACACTCTTCAAAACCATGAAGTCAAAGCAACTATTTGGACAAATGCTTGCTTTAACACTGCTTACTGTCTCTGCTTCACTGGGGTGCTGTCTGTTGTGATGAGTATGTAACGGAGTGGCAACCAAGAATGTCTGCTAACTCTGAATGTCTGCTCATGTGGAAATGGTACTAAAGCAATGTCACGTGTCTGTAGTTAGTACCAATAGACTCAAAGTAATGTAGTGAATGCGTCCCACCAGTACACTCGTGCCTGGTTTCACCGTCCGATTGACAGCTGCTTTCTGTGGAGGAGCACCTGTTTCTGTATGTGAGCACTGAAATAGCACTTGACTCATACATCCAATTCTTCTTCTGGCTGTTTCAAATCCTTCTTTTTTAAAATTGAAAAGAAAGAAACAGGAAGACCACACTTTCAGGGGCTTCTTTCTTATGGACTGAAACACAGCACTGAAAAGACCTATCCAGGGATAGGTCTGTTGCTTTGTCCCAAATTGGATTGTAGCAGAATGAAAGCAGGCGGATTATGTTCCCCTTCACACTTTTTGGTGGAATGCTTTAGTGTTGCTGATTAAATAACTTTGATTATGAGTTAAACAAATTATTGGCAATGGCCTTGGACTCAGGCCTGTCTTCCACCTGAATATGCTTTTAGATGGTACGTTTCACACCATATATTCATAATGTGTTAGCATTATGACCATATGTCTTCATGAGTTTTTGTATGGGGAAAGAAAAAAAAAGTCATCAACCAATTTTTTAAAAGTCTTCTTCGTGCAAGCTTTATTTTTCTACTAAAAAAATAGATTTTTTTAAAACATTGCTGATACTTGCTCCAGATACTGTGTCAGGATGCTAGGAATGGTTTGACATCCTAAACAGGCCCATAATTTTTAGGAACATGAGAGGTTCAACTATACTGTTTTAGAGACATTTTCAAAATATAAGAAAATCCCTAAAAATATTGTAACCTGTTTGATTCTCCCAGGGAAGTAAACTGTTCCCGATGCTCAGACAGTCTTTTAGATAATTTGGGACAGATTGCATATTGCCATCATTGCTTCACATTCCATCAGTTTTACTACTCGTAACCTGATGTACACTGCTTTATTTTTTCCTCTTTTTTGCCTCTGTTTTTCTTTTGCCCCCCCCTTTGCTTTGTAACTCAATAGAGGTGCCCCAACTCACTGACCTAAGCTTTGTTGACATAACCGATTCAAGCATCGGCCTGAGGTGGACCCCGCTAAACTCCTCCACCATTATTGGGTACCGCATCACAGTAGTTGCGGCAGGAGAAGGTATCCCCATTTTTGAAGATTTTGTGGACTCCTCAGTAGGATACTACACAGTGACAGGGCTGGAGCCGGGCATTGACTATGACGTCAGCGTTATCACTCTCATTAATGGCGGAGAGAGTGCCCCTACCACACTGACACAGCAAACGGGTGAATTTTGAAAACTTCTGTGTTTGAGACACGGATGGTGTTGCATGCTGCCACCAGTCACTCTGGTTAAACGTGGATGTTTCAACAGGAAAGCCAGCAACTGGCCAAAGATGAAGAGGGAGTAGGTTAAGGAGTCAGGAAACAGAGGCAGAGGCTAAACCAATTGGATGAAGACATATTCAAATACTCTTAAGTGTGCTTTTGTTTAAAGCACAAATATGCATAAAGCTAAAGAAATATAGATAGCTGACCTATTGCATACAAATGGGGAAAGATTAATTGCACTTGCAGACCCATAATTCTTAAAAATGATCTAACATTAATGCTAAATTTTATAATCAGCACCAGTCAGTTAGAAGTGTCTGTCCGAAACGTACCATTGTGCGTTTCCTTCTACTCTTTGATAAACTCTACCATGCTCCTTCTTTGTAGCTGACAAAAAACCCATGGAAATGTCCGGTGTACAGTGTAGTAGCGGGAGGGTTGTTTGGAGGTAGAGAAACAAACTGACAATTCTGGGGCGCTCTAAGTTCCATTGTTAGGGTGAGGTAGAGAAACTCCTCTTTAACCTCAGTCCGGGGACCAGCATGCAACATTATAAATGTTCTCTGCCCTGCATGGTAAGAAACATGCTGAGAACCGATTTGCATGAACCCTCTTCACTTGTAAGTAGTGTTTACTGAATGGAATTGTAGCTCTAGTCACCTCACGTCAGGGGCACTTTAGGACCCTCTCGTCCTTTTGTCTGTGTGCATGTGTTTCTTTGGAAAGTACTGCTATGTTTCTCTGCTATGTGGCAACTTGAGCCTCTTCAGCCTGGGATAAAATAACCTTCAGTGGTATTAACAATGTACTTAAGGTGAACATATTGGAAGGATGTGAAAATTATAAAGATAAATTGAAGGCAGAAAGGTTAAAGGGGCCTAACAGTGCTAGGTGTAGTGTTTTATTTTTAACAGTACAATTGACCCTTAAACAACAGATGGGTTGGGGCGCTGATGGCCCACACAGGAAAAAAATCCATGTATAAGTTTTGACTCCCCCAAAACTTAATTACTAAGAGCCTATTGTTCTCTGGAAGCCTTACTGATAACATAAACAGCCAATTAACACTCGTTTTGTATGTTATACAAATTGTGTACTATATGCTTACAGTAAAGTAAGCTAGAGAAAGAAAATAAGAAAATCACGAAGAACAGAAAATACATCTACAGAATTTATTTTTAAAAGTCCACCTAGACACACACAGTTCAACCCTGTTTTGTTCAAGGGTCAACTATAGTTTACTCTCATTTAGACTAGAGTTAGACTAGACTATTTGCATGATTAGTACTCATTTCCTTTATGCATGAAATACTATTTTTACATTTCCAGCTGTTTTTGTTAGCTTTTATTGTGAAATGACAATAACTTAGTCTTTCCTCCTGTTTGAAACCAGCTGTGCCTGCCCCCACTGACCTGCGATTCACCAACGTTGGTCCAGACACCATCCGTGTCACCTGGGCCCCGCCTCCGTCCATCGAGTTGACCAGCATCCTGGTGCGCTACTCACCTGTGAAAAATGAGGAGGATGTTGCGGAGTTGTCGATTTCCCCATCAGACAATGCAGTGGTCTTAACAAGTAAGAGGTCCAATGTATCTGTTCAATAAATGCTAAGCTGGCACATCAGGAAAGAATTCTGAGTCCTCAGGTAGGAGGAAATAAGCTCAAGGCAAGTACAACCGAACTACAAACTAAACTCCAAATATGACCTGCGGCGCTGTAAATCCCAAAAGATGTCGTGTTTGTTATCTTTATACATTTTTGATATCTCCAACTTTTTAAAAATCATGGTGGAAAAACACCAGCAATGAAGTTGGAAGACTTCAAGCCAGTTCTGCTTCCAAATAAGCACGTAAAAATAATGTATGTTAAGAGAAATTACATGAGTACATTTGAATGTTCAGAGAGAAAATGAAGATGAAAAATAATGTCACCATATCTGTTTTATTCCCTCCCGCCCCCCAGTGTCAGCAGGGAATCTCTTCAGCATCTGAAAACACAGAAACAGTGACTGGTCCTCAGGATAGATCAGGATGCCCCTTTGAAGAGGGAGCCAGTTTCATTCGTACTTCAAAAAGAATCTGTTAGCAGGATTTCTCTGAAGGCTGAGGACTTAGAAAACAACTGACAGTAAAATAAACAGCACAACAATTATGGAAATTGTCCCTTTCTAGTTCCTACTCTTTTGAAATAGATATCCTTTATTAAAGAAAATGTGAGTGGGCTGCAACATGGCACTGTGCTTCCCGTTAGCGTGGCTTTTTAGCGCTTTCACCAGGGATAGATAGCTCACATTTAGGTCCATTGCCACGTGACGGTCTGCAAACCCTCTCTGTCATTCAGACGTATTTCAGAGAGTGAAAGACAGCTCTGCATACGACCAGTTTTGCTTTCTCATTCTGTGGCTGAGGGCAAAAGCCTCCTCATACCTATCTGTCAGCAGTCTGGTTGTTCTGGAGTACTCTGGAATCAGTAGTCACACCACCCAATACACAAGCCCCTGCTTCAGGACCACCATCTGCCCCACATTAAGCCCCAGACCTGGCACATGCCCATCGTATGTTCTAAGATCTTATTTTAGATCCTATTCTAGATCTCAAGGTAGCCATTTCCCCCTAGAGTAGCCATCATTACCCTGTTTTACAGATGAAGCAGCTGAGGTGCCCAGTGGTTAAGTAAATTGCTCCTGGCCACGTAGAAAAGGAGGAAAATGGAGTCCAAGCACCCAGCACGGCCCTCTGCAGGAAGGCTGAAGGGGAGATGATACGGAGGGGAGTGGGGTTGAATGAGTAGGTGTTCAATAGTCAGATACCTTACTCTGCACCTTTGCTGGTTTCTCGACAAGAGGGAGCATCCAGGAATGTATATTTAAGTTTTTTAAGTGTTCTGCCCTTATCTTAATGTGGCAGAACCAATCCCTTTCCCTTTGGTGTATAACTCTTCCAGTAAAGGTTAATTGTTAAGACCACTGGCCATGGCCTGGGTCAACTCCTGTATGGTCTTGAGCAAGCAGATCAAAGAAGACAAGTGCTTTGTGCCTGTTTTCTCATTTGTAAAATGGGAACAATCGTAAACCAAACTTTTGCCGGTAATAGATTTCCTCACTGTCTTGAATGTGGTGGCAGTTTCACAAGTGTATGCATGTATCAAAACCTGTCTAAACGTGCACTTGAAATACACGCAGTTTGTTATAGGGCAATACAGCTGCTTTAAAAAAGTAGCCAACTACCTCACTAGGGTGTTCTGAGAAGTAAATGATAATCCACAGCCAGGGTCATTATTATCACGTAACCTCACAGACTATTAAGTGGATGATAGGAATATTACTGTGCTACAGCAACTCCATCGAACTGCAGATCAGGCTGAGTAACACTCACACGGGAGTCTGAGGGCAAGGCTTGGAGATGCTTCAGGGCAAGGTGACCCTTTCTTAGCCCATCTCCAGGTAGCCGCATTCACTGAGGTGTAAGTAAGCTAAAGGAGCAGACTCTTGGATATTTTATAAGTGGAAATAGTCCCAGGGGCATTTTTGTGTTTCCTGCTTTTAAGCACAATTTTAAAATAAGTCCCACTTGCCTCTTCAGATCTCCTGCCCGGCACAGAATACGTAGTCAGCGTCTCTAGTGTTTATGAACAGCACGAGAGCACGCCTCTCAGAGGAAGACAGAAAACAGGTGAGTCACTTTGGCAGTATGCTTATCAAGGAGCATCCACCTACCAATTTTAGGTAACAAAAATGGAATGCTACTTCTAAAAATGCATCTCCATCTGTTGTGGTGGGGATGGGGGTCCTTGTGGCCTTGTCATTACTTTCTGATCACTGGTCTTGAAAATTAAAAGACACCGTATTCAACTATCACCCTCACTTTTGGTCTCTAAGAGTCTTCTCTTTCCAGAGAGGACTGAAATTAGTCCAGAAACTTTGTTGTCTATTATTCAAGGATGGTAAACATTCCTTCTCATTAGGGGGTTCTGGCTAATGGCTAACCCAAGACTGTCATTGTCATAAGTATTTCCCCTCTTTTACTAAGCCAAGAAGTTTATCTCTTTTTTCTGCTTGATGGAATCTTCATTTACTATAAAAAGGAAGTTGAATAAAGCCCATAATATGTTCTTTCTTAAAAATGAGTATTTTTAATTTTTCCCTTTAAAAAAGTGCAGTTTAATATATTCATTAATCTATTACAGTCCACATACTTCCAAAAAGGGGTTGTGAAATCTCAGTTTGGTTTGACTATATTATTGAATAGTGTTGGAAATCCCAGAGAGATTCCACGATGTGAATTTGAGATAAACTCCAAATTCTTGCTGAGTTTTCTACGATCCACTAAATTCTCCATTCATGAGGAATTACTTGCATTATAATTTGTCCAGAATAATGTCTTAGTTTTAAAAAGTTTTGCGTTTGACACCATTATCACCCTGTTGACGTATCAATTCCCTTATGAGTGTAGAAAGCTTCTTGGAGAGCCAACCACTTAGCCTGAGAGTGGAAGGTCTTCTCACTTTCAGAAATGAACTTATAGGACAGGGACATAGAATACTGAACACTGAGGCATTTAAAAATATCATTTCCCAGGATATCTTAAACACCTATTCTCTAAACATGATCCAGAAACTTACTGTAATGATACTTGGATTGCTTAGCAAAAGAAAAAAGAAAAGAATGCTTGAGTTGTCCATTTTATTTAGAATTGATTAAAAGATTTAAAATTTATATGTGGCTTAGAATCAGTGCATCATATGCCGAGGCTTATGGCAAATTCATTGTGTTGATGAAAAAACAGAACCATTGAATATATGTTACTTTCCCCTATGTTCTCACTGCCTTACCTGGTGGTGTCTTTTTTATTTCCTTCTCCCTCTCTTTCTTCCCTGGATTGGAAAAACAGGTCTTGACTCTCCATCCGGCATTGACTTTTCTGACATCACCGCCAACTCTTTCACTGTCCACTGGATTGCTCCTCGTGCCACCATCACTGGCTACAGGATTCGCCATCACCCTGAACACGCCGGCGGGCGACCTCGAGAAGATCGAGTGCCCCCCACTCGGAATTCCATCACCCTCAGCAACCTCAACCCGGGCACAGAATATGTGGTCAGCATCGTTGCACTTAATGGCAGAGAGGAGAGTCCCCCATTGGTTGGCCAGCAGTCAACAGGTAACTTGTTTTCTGGTTTTTAAAGAAACTCAGAGGACTTTCCCAGGTGGGCTTCTTCTGTGAAGTAGGTTTGTGTTGTCTGAGTTACGATCTCTTAAAACATCCATCGTGCTTATGAGACGTGGAAAGGGAAGTGAGAGCATATGTAGAGAAAAATCTCCTTCTTAGATTATGTTAAAGAAAATAATTTTTATCCCCAGAAATTTCTCACCTGGTTTAGGTATTTATGCATTTTTAACAACAGTTTGATTCAAAATACAGAAAACACTCTTTCAAAGTTTCCTTAACAGCATAATTATTTTAATATAAAAGTGTCAAAGTTCTTCGGAGATAGATGCTGAAGTACTCAGGGGAGAAGTATGTATTATCACGGTATCTGTACCTTGTCTCAAATGCATTAATAAAAATAGAGAGAGGCCAATGTTACCAATTAGGAAATACCTATAGGAAAGGGATATGGGTATTCATTATATCGTTTGTGTAGCTTTCCTATTGTTCTAAAACTTTTCAAAATAAAAAGTTCAGGGAAAAACACCGTTCCATTGACATAATAATGTTACCAGATCTTGAATTGACTCCTTAACTCTACCTTGAATTGTTCATAATTTTTAGTTCTGCTATTTTTGTATAGTATTTACATTATTACATTTTAAAAAGTCACAAAGACAATGACCTGGAAAACGAACAAAGTGCGAAGCTGTGCATTGTTTGGAAGTTACAGACACAAGAACTTTCCTTTGCCTCTTCTAGTTTCCGATGTTCCGAGGGACCTGGAAGTTGTTGCCACGACCCCCACCAGCATGCTGATCAGCTGGGAAGCCCCTGCTGTCACAGTGAGATATTACAGGATCACCTATGGAGAAACAGGTGCGTTCGCAAAATGCTCTTTCACGCTCTAATCAAGTCAGATTGTGCTGGGGGTAATCTGAAAGCCCAACAGCGAGCGCACAATTAAAGAAAGCTTGGCAGATCCATTCAATGGAGCCTTGCCTTTTCTGAAAAAACGTGGAAAATAGGCACGAGGTAATTGGTAGCAAAATCGAGGTAAAAAGTTGTTCGTATCATCCTAGAGGGAGAAGGGAAGATTTGAGGAAGAAAGGATTGTAAATACACTTGTATATTATCAGTGGTGAAATAATGAGTGATTTATTTGTATTTTTCTTTTTACTTTTTCGCATTTTCAAAATTTTACTTAACATGAAAATATGCTATTAAAAATTTTAAAAAGGCACAGAGTTTATGCAATCCTGAGTCGAGGACTTACCTTCTTCTCCCTTTTCATGTTAATCTACAACTCTGACTTTTTAAAACTGGAATATTAAAATGTCACTAACGGATTGAGCGCGGGCCTGCGAACCAGACAATCGCGGTTCGATTCCCAGTCAGGGCACATACCCAGGTTGCAGGCCAGTTCCCTGCAGGCCAGTTCCCAGCAGGGGATGCCTGAGAGGCAACCATACATTGATGTTTCTCTCCCTCTCTCCTTCCCTTCCCCTCTAAAAATAAATAAATAAAATCTTTAAAAAAAATAAAATAAAATGTCACTAACTGTAATTTTCTCCCTGTTTTTGCAAACTTATTGAGGTTTATCTCATGCATAAATAAATATATTTATTTCTGTTCAAGCCACATTAATAGCATTTTTATAAAGGGAATAAAGTAAACATATAAGTTACATGCTATTCTCAACATCTTAATTTATTTGCGCAGTGATTCCCAAGCATCTGTCTGTCCCTCCGATTTTGACTAACCTCTTTCCGCACAGGAGGGAACAGCCCCGTGCAGGAGTTCACTGTGCCCGGGAGCAAGTCTACAGCCACAATCAGTGGCCTTAAGCCTGGAGTGGACTACACCATCACCGTTTATGCCGTCACTGGCCGAGGGGACAGCCCAGCGAGCAGCAAGCCCATTTCCATTGATTACCGAACAGGTAGTGACTCCTTGGGATGACACAGGCATATTTACTCAGATGGTCTGCACAGGGTCCTTCCAAGGAATTTTCTTCACTGTGAAACTGACTTTCTCTTTTAAGAAGATGAAGAACACCTATAGCAACTTGTTCTGATCCAGATGTACAAAGAAATACCCGCTAGGGCAGGGATCTTTGTCTGTTTCATCAATTAATTTAGTCCACCTGCCTACAGTAGAGACAGACAGAGAAGGTGTTTTATAAATATTTGCTAATAAATGAATGAGTGAGCTGATAAAGTAAGAAGATGAACGCCTGGTCAGAATGTAGTTTCTTTGTGAGTGAAGTAGCCATCTTGAAAGTAGGTCATGGTTTTGAGATGCTTCCCAAAAGCTATCTCTGTTTCTGCAAACACTTGGGGGTCATTAATGATAGTCAGAGATCATCCAATATTTACCAGAACTGGAGACAAGGACACATTCAGTCTTGTTTCCATGGACTGTGGCTGCATTGGTTTTCCCTTGTTTTTATTTGTAGAAATTGACAAACCATCCCAGATGCAGGTGACCGATGTTCAGGACAACAGCATCAGTGTCAGGTGGCTGCCTTCCAGTTCCCCTGTGACTGGTTACAGAGTGACCACCACTCCCAAAAATGGCTTGGGACCAACAAAAACTAAAACTGCGGGTCCAGGTAGGAATCGCCAGCATCTCACATGCACAGTATGCTTTTTAAATAAACAGCCACCTACCTCTGGTGCCATGTGTTTTTATATCATTATGTCAAAGTTCCCCCGTTTGTGAATCCAGGGCTCAAGGTTGTCACTCCCTCCACAGAATTTTCAGGGTAAGTGCAGTTCTGTTTTCACCTGCACGGTCCTATTGAATGGTGCAGACATCTTAATGATGAGATCCATCTTTATGCTTTTGTTTGCCATGTACATTGAGAGAGAGGCCAACAAAACCATCTTTATGGTTTTTGTTGGCCTAATGGATTTTGAAGGATCTTTTTAGCTCTCGTTTTTGTTTTTATGTAAAATATTTGTGCAATTAGGATTCTAAAGCAATATCTTTTTTTTTTCCTCAAATGCAAGTGGACATTTCTTTAGTAAGTCACAGAGGTGGGAAAAGTGAGCCAGCTGGGCTGTGTGGGCTAAGGAAACAAATTACAGAGGCAAAAGAAGGGCCCTTGGAGTTTGGGGGAGGGCAGAGAGAGAGAGATAAGTACTCCGTGGAGTACTTATCCTTCAGTGTGAGTTTATGCCCATATGACAGTTTGTATCAGCAATGAACATGTTTGTCCAAGAGGAAATCCATGTCTGACTCGTCTGTATTTTCCTGATAAATCTGCCAGTGACAATCTAGTCCCACACATATTTCCTCGTAGAGTCTGGACATCACTTGGATGACCTTCCAGCAGATGATATAGCTGCTGCACTCGCTCTTCATTTTCTTTGCAGATCAAACAGAAATGACTATCGAAGGCTTGCAGCCCACAATGGAGTATGTGGTCAGTGTCTATGCTCAGAATCAAAATGGAGAGAGTCAGCCTCTGGTCCAGACTGCAGTAACCAGTACGTAACCCATGCTCAGTTTCCCTTCCAAAGCCAGGCTTTGTTCTTAGGCATCTGAATGCCCTCTGCGTGTCATTTGTGATTATACATGGGGGAAGCCAACTTGTTGGTTAGTTTGCAGATCGAGTTGAGCCCTATATACAGACACTTTGTTTTTCCTCTCAGTGCCAAGTCATGAACACGTAGGGAAAGAAGCTGTGGAACCACTGTAGTTAGTTGCTGTGCTTTAAATTTCTTTTGCTCAAATGGCCTTAGCAAAATCTTATTTGCCAATATCACAATCTACAGAGTATTTTCCCAGGACTGTCTTTTCTACAGCTGGATGGTGAAGTTGATTTGAAGCGTTTCCTATGAAGCTGTTAGGTTTGCAGCATTGGCAGGACTGTGGCTGCACCAGTGTTTAATGTAAATACTTAAAGGGGGTGGGGAAGAAGAGTTTGAGATTTATAGCAATATAAATCTAACATTGAAAATCAACTTTACCACTTCCAAGGTATAGAAAATCCAGGTCTGTGAGACTAACATCACATTGCCAAAGCAAATTTGGGTAGACTATCTTATAAAATCAACGCAAGTAAATCCTCTTTTAGAAGACATTTTTTCAGGGTGCTTATGCTTCTTGCGCGCACCTGTTTTAATTAAGAGATGTGACACTAAATATTTTCTGAATCAAAAATACTTCCACAAGTGTCAGGTAATTTTCTGTGTAATAGTGGGTTAATTGGAATTTAATTTATCAGAGAATGGTATCTGCAGAACTGCTTTGCACGTTATAAAAATGCTTATTTCACAACTTGCTTTTCACATAACCTCTTACCATTAATTTGCCTAACAGACATTGATCGCCCTAAAGGACTGGCATTCACTGATGTGGATGTCGATTCCATCAAAATTGCTTGGGAAAGCCCACAGGGGCAAGTTTCCAGGTACAGGGTGACCTACTCGAGCCCTGAGGATGGAATCCATGAGCTATTCCCTGCACCTGATGGTGAAGAAGACACTGCAGAGCTGAAAGGCCTCAGGCCTGGTTCTGAGTACACAGTCAGTGTGGTTGCCTTGCACGATGATATGGAGAGCCAGCCCCTGATTGGAACCCAGTACACAGGTATATCGTTAATCGCACCACTGGGTGCTCATGGGAGCAGTGGCTTTATGCCCTGCTGAATGAATTATACTTTATCAGGCTATTGATTCCCACATAAGGGGGTTAAAAAAAAGAAGGAAAGGCCCTCTTTAAGAGGAGTAGTAGTAAACAATGAAGTTTAGGTGATACTTCGGTGAAATCTAATAAACAGACATTTTGGAGTAGCTTGGCTTCTAAACAAGGCCATAAAGAGAGACATTTGAAGAGAAGTCTTAAACTGTGGCTTATTTCCTAAGCCATGCCTCCCTGTGGCTCTACTCACTGTGTATAAAGGAAAGAAGTTTGGCATCCTAGCACTTTCTCTAAAAAAGGAACCCTGAATGGGCCATTCATAGCAGCATGAGTCTGAGAACACATGGGTAAGACCTTCCTTCTCTAATTAGGTATCCTGTGCTCGGTGTATAATGTGCTTAAAGGATTGCAAGTCAGACACATAGGGCAGATGCTTTCCACAAGATTTTACCTTCATGTGCTTTGTTTCTGAAGCACCGGGGAATGCTAAAGACGTGTCCTTGCGACAGCATAGACCATGGAGGTGACAGTCTGTGTTATTGCTCTTTGCTTCTCTTTTCTGCTTCTGTTATGATTCAATTTTCTTATGCTGCACCACAGAGAATACTTCAAATTTAGCAGAGATATTGGCCACAGGGTCCAAATAAAGGGAATAAAAACATAATTCTAACTTTTGGGGTATGGAATACTCTGTGAAATGGATTTTCACGCAAAGAAAATTTCAATAGGAAAAGAGCTATTGCTCATCTTTCCATATAAATGGAAAATCAATCTCAATGGCCAATAAGTCATTCTGACTTTTTTAAAAAAATTTAAGGGAAAGCAAACACATCTTCTAAACCCTAAATTCTTCTAGAATTCTGACATTTATTTGTGTTTCCAGTGAATCTGAGCATTGGTGGATAGGAAACATTTTTTTTCAGCAAATGTTTTCTTAGTTTTGCATCCCTTCTTGTACTTCCTTGTACTGAATCTTTGATCAGGGAACCCACCTAACCAAAAGCAATCACAGTCTAGTCTAGTTCTTGGAACTCACTTTACTTTCCATTTCCCCATTTCCTATAAGATAACCTCTAACCAATGACCATCTTGACAGCCATTCCTGCACCAACCAACCTGAAGTTCATTCAGGTTACACCAACAAGCCTGACTGCCCAGTGGACGGCACCCAACATTCAGCTCACTGGCTACCGGGTGCGGGTGACCCCCAAAGAGAAGACAGGACCAATGAAAGAGATCAACCTTTCTCCTGATAGCTCGTCTGTGGTTGTATCAGGACTCATGGTAAGCAGTGCCCTTTTTTATTTGAATAAAGAGGCAGGCCATCCTGTACACACTTTAAGGTGGTGGAAATACAATATAATAATATATCTCATTGTATTCTTTGCCCCTGCCATCAAATCATTTTGTGGTAATTTTGTACCAATTTTATAAAAAACAGTTTTAGATGTTCTGCAGCTTAAAAAAAAGATTCTGTTTATTTATTTTTAGAGAGGAGGGAAGGGGGGAAGAAGGAAAGGGAGAGATGAATTGATCAGTTGCCTCTCGCGTGCCCCAATCTGGGAACCTGGCCCACAACCTGGGAATGTGCCCTGACTGGGTATCGAACTGGTGAACTTTCATTTCACAGACCAGCACTCAAGCCACTGAGCCACACCAGCCAGGGCTGTTCTGCAGCTCTTTAAATGTATTCTGTTTGTTTGTTTTATTATTTGTTTTGTATTCTGTTTATTTTTATGGGTTATGCATGGGTGGGGGCAAATTCTATGTCTACAGGCTAAATGCATACATCTACTTTTAGTTACTACGCATTTTCTGAGCTCTGTTACCTTGGCAAGGGATATTCTCCAGTTTGTACCTACCCAGCCTGACCCTCCCTTCATTAAAACAGCTTTAGTCCTTCTGGACCTGCATGTAAAAAACTAGCCAGGAACTTAGGGGACTGATATTCATTTTAACATAAGCCCAGGTTCCAGAAGAAACTACAGAAAGAGCGTTCAGAGATAGAATAGAGAATTCTCTTTGCCTCCCCGTGATCAGAAAAATTCAGTTTTTACGTCATTGCATGAAGGACAAAAACAGGCTAACACCCATTTTCCTCATTGCATATCAGTTTAGCGTAAGTATATAAGTTATGGCTTACCTGAGCTTAATGTCTGAAGGCATTTTAAAACTCATGTAATTAAAATTTGTTATTGATCACCTGTCGTGTAGGAATGAAATTAATCTAGGAATTTATAGTGCTGCAGGTTTTGTTAGTTTATTTTTTTTTCTTTTACAACCATGTTGTTTTTCTAATGCTGTGGTGAAAATGCCTGGGCTTCCCGTTGCTAAAGCTCACTGTGCCCCTCTTTCTAGGTGGCCACCAAATACGAAGTGAGCGTCTATGCCCTCAAGGACACATTGACAAGCATGCCAGCTTCCGGAGTTGTCAATACTCTGGAGAGTAAGTCGTGAAACTTTTTAGTATCAAAAAACATTCTGTATAGGCAAAAAGTCAAGAATGGCAAATGACTTTCTGGATCACTAAAGTAACAATGGAATGGCTCCCAGTCTGGAAATTGATCTGCTCACCCACCATTGTGACTTAGCTCCTGTCATCTTTTGTCTGCCCCTGCCCTTGAAAGTGATCTGTGGGCACATAAGCAGGATCCTTTCGTAGGGCGGAAGCACTGGTGTTATGGACAAGGACGGGCACCTAGTTTATGCTCTACTTGTGGGAATTTGTTTCTACAGAGTTCCATTTGGGGAGTTTCTGCCGCCTTCTACCGTATCTGAATAGCACAGTTGGGGTGAACAAAATGGGGCCCAGACTCTAGCTTTCTGCCATATTGGTAACTCACAGTATGCTCTTTCGTAAACCATATAAAAAAGTGTCAAAGTTTCCTCGTCTGTAGAATAAGGGATGGTGTTCCATCTGTTCAGAGAAAAAACATGAAGTCCTATAAAGACAACAACATGCTAGCCGTGCATGTATATATTATTGCTAGCTGACCAAGGGATTCTAACTCCTACTACGCTTATGTTCCATTTGAATGAATTAAAAATTTTCACATTTATTGAGGGATTTGTAGGTAGTCTAAAACCCGCCTTGGGAACCACTGGTATTATCTGTAAGAAGGGTTTTTTAGTTCTTCAAAACAAAAGGTGAATATTTTCATATTTCGAATTACTGGCAACCTTCTGGATGCCACAAGAGAAAAATCTATACATCGTCGTGTGTAGAAACGGATGTATCCGGTGTATAATAAAGAAACATTTTAAAGTACCACCCCCTACCTCTGTGAGCCAGCCAGGCACTAATCTCCGGCTACGTTTCCATGCAGATGTCAGCCCTCCCAGAAGGGCCCGTGTGACAGATGCCACTGAGACCACCATCACCATTAGCTGGAGAACCAAGACTGAGACAATCACCGGCTTCCAAGTAGAAGCTGTGCCAGGAAATGGCCAGATTCCTGTTCAGAGAACCATCAGTCCAGATGTCAGAAGCTACACCATCACAGGTCAGGGACCTCACAGGACTGACCACCTTTGTTCACTGCTGCTCACTGCGTAGATGAGCGTATTATTCTAGCACTTAAACTGATTAGCTTTATTTTCAGTGTTTTATGATAGATAACCCAGCTCTAATCTCTAAAAGCATATTTTTAAACCGTGATCAGAAATAGTTTTGTCCTATGAGTGCCTGATTTTATTTCATGTTTGCTAGAGAAATCGCATGTTTCATTCAGCCTTTTGATTTTTAATCAATGTCCTCTTTCTTACATAAAAAATGGTAACATAATGCTTAAAACAAAAAGCCACTTAAAATGGTTTGACATTACCATAGATTATAAAGCATAATTAACTTCAAAAAAATCAAACACTAAATTCATGAAGGTCAAATTTGTAGCAGAGAATGTTCAATGTCTGGGTTAATCCAGGTCTCTTTGAGGTTTAAAGTTCTGATTCCAGTTACCAATCAAAGACCATCTGATGATGATGAAGAGAAAACACTCAATAGGTACTTGCCCCTCATGGTCCAAGAGGGCCACTTCTTAGATAGCATTTTTGTATTCTCAAATTTTAACTGATAAGAACAGATACTACACTTGATCTTAGCCAAAAGGCCGAGAAGCGATGTATTCTCAAATTTATTTTAGCCAGTGTCTTTGTGTACCTCAGCGATTTTCTTTTGAGGTGTGTTTCTCATTAACAGTTAACACCCGCGCGATGCTCTAATTTACTGTTCAAATGTGCACCACTTATGTGGTCCATATAAATATGGGATAGTGGAGGAAGCATGAAAATTGCAAATGAGTTTGCAACTTCCTAATCAAGATCAGATGAAAGCTGTTTCTTTGCAAATCCCAGGTTTACAACCCGGCACTGACTACAAGATCTACTTGTACACCCTGAATGACAATGCCCGGAGCTCCCCTGTCGTCATCGACGCCTCCACTGGTAACTATAACTTTCCGCTGAAGAGATGCCACTGATTTCTATGTGATCAGTCATGCGCACTTAAGGAACAAACATGAGGCTGATATTTTTGTATTATAGATCATAGTGAATCATTTTTACAGCTTACAGAACTCTCAGATTCTCTTGTTAGTTACTAAGGACTGGGGAAAGGGTGTGGGAGTAATTTTCTTGGTTATTCATTTTCTTAGAGACTTAATTTTGGTTTCTCTTAGCCATCGATGCCCCATCCAACCTGCGTTTCCTGGCCACCACACCCAACTCCTTGCTGGTGTCATGGCAACCGCCGAGGGCCAAGATCACTGGTTATATCATCAAGTATGAGAAGCCTGGGTCCCCTCCCAGAGAAGTGGTTCCTCGGCCCCGCCCTGGTGTCACTGAGGCTTCTATTACTGGTATTGCTGCTTCTATGCTGCTATTTTTCCTCCTTACCCCCTGGGATACCAAGTGCTTAGGAGACCCCCGCTGTGTAGAACAAGGAGCCCGTCTCTGGAAGCCCCAGGAAGCATTCTCTGTGTAGGAGCTGGAGAGCTCAGTGCATCTCAAGTGGCACGAGTTCATGGAAATAAAGTAATTCCCATACTGTCCTAATGGCATGACTAAAATCTTTGTATTTGCTGTACGTTTGCCAGACACTTGTCAGTCCGGTCCTAGAAAAAGACATCGTTCAAAGCAAACTACCTAATTTATGCTTAACTCCCTAAAGATCTGATGGTTTTGCAGGACGTGCCAGAGTTCTGTCATGGCCCTTCATGAGGCAAAGTGATTCCCAGCCACCCATAATGAAGAGAATGCCTAGCATGAGAATTAAGAGTTGTCCATTTCAGTAGGTCATGGGCCCCTGGTATTATTTTTCTCCAAGAGATTACATTTTCAAATTTTTTGTGAGAGTATCGTCTGGGCAACACACAGGTACCAGAAGGAGACAGTTTTTTTGTTGGTTTGTTTTTTTGTTTTTTTTAAGAAACTTTGGGGACAGGATAATGGAATCAGCTATGGGAGGAGTTGAACTGAATAATTCTACTGGGGACCCTGCAAAGATCGTTCCTTGACCCCTTCAGTGCACTTAACCTGTTGTCACACTTTTCACTGACCCTGTCACTGAGGGTCACCTTATGACCGGGCCTAAGCAGACTTAAGGAGATCATCTGCAGTGATCCCTCCTGAATGTATATTCCACTGGTGGAATTCCACTGACTTTTTTGGAATTCAAAAAGGCCAATGAGATCACATGCTAAAAGAGTGCCCAGGAGAATTGAGCATGCAAGCTTCTCCAGGTGTCTGATTTGATAGTAAGATCATTGATTTGCTAAGTGGCCATCACATGCAGAGGATGAGAATGTTTATGGAAGAAAAGTGAAGTCAGTGTTACCTTTCAAGAGTCCAACAGCCTGAGGGAGAGAGATCGCTTGCTCCCCAGGAGTGCCTCCCGATGAGATCAGGTTGCAGTTGGCCAGCTGAGCCCACAAACTGAACATGATGACCTGTCTTTCCACCAGGTCTGGAACCAGGAACCGAGTACACAATCCAAGTCATTGCCCTTAAGAACAACCAGAAGAGTGAGCCTCTGATCGGGAGGAAAAAGACAGGTAAAGAAAGACCACCTTCCGGGTAACAGGGAGACAGTCAAGGCAAAACTAATGACATGACAAATTTATTTTGCAGCGAAAAGGTTCTCCAGATTCCGATGCATTTTTCATGGAAGTTTGTTTTTTTTTCCCCCAACAGCATGGTATACGTTGTCTTCTTTGATAGTAGGGAAAACCTAACATAATCTGTTACTTCAGTTTTCTTTTTCCTTGAATTCAGTTTTATTTTTCTCTTAGCCAGTCAATATAAAGCCTTTTATTCACCTTTAAAATTTTCAAAACAGATAAAAGTGTGAAAGTGAAATGACTATCATCGCTATTCACCTCTACCGTTTGTTGAAGTTAAAAATGCTTAATATTATTTGACTTCTGAATCTTGGGGCTAAAGAATGTCTTACTTTTTCATCCACTTAGTTTAATTGGAAGAAAATGCTATATTTGTGCTATTAGAATTCAAAAAATGAACATGTATATATTTTTATCTATTCATACCATTTCAAATCATAAAAAAACCATTGAACCAAACCTCTGGAATTCTCATCCTCCAGCTGCTTATATAATTAGTGTGGATTCTAGTCCTTAGAACATGATTCTCAAATGAAAGAAAAAAAGCATTTCATTTCCATTAGGCTTCATTTGAGCAGCAGCAGCTTCAATGGGGCTCAGTGGTATAAAGCTTTGTATGTATGATAAATTCATACAAACACTTTTTTCATTCTAAACTCTAAAGAAATCTTTGAGGAAAAAAAAGCCATAAAGATTTCTTTCTGAAAAAAAGTGTTTTGCGATCTAAGAGCTGCTAATTTTCCAGGGGCTTTGATCTAATTGATAGACAATCTGTGTCGCCTGAGTTGATGATGATTACTGCTGGTACTTCTGGGAGCTTAACTCGCTTTGCTTTTTTGGCTCTAACCTCTCTTGGCTAGATGAGCTTCCCCAACTGGTAACCCTTCCACACCCCAACCTGCAAGGACCAGAGATCTTGGATGTTCCCTCCACAGCTCAAAAGACCCCTTCCATCACCACCGGTATTCAGCTTCCTGGCACTTCCGGTCAGCAGCCCAGTGTTGGGCAACAAATGATCTTTGAGGAGCATGGTTTTAGGCGGACCACACCTCCCACCACGGCCACCCCTGTAAGGCATAGGCCAGGACCATATCCACCGAATGTAAATGAGGAGATCCAAATCGGTCATGTCCCCAGGGGAGACGTAGACCATCACTTCTACCCTCACGGTCCGGGACTCAATCCAAATGCTTCTACAGGACAAGAAGCTCTCTCTCAGACAACCATCTCTTGGACCCCGTTCCAGGAAAGCTCTGAGTATATCATTTCATGTCATCCTGTTGGCACTGACGAAGAGCCCTTACAGGTAATTGATTTTTCTCTTTACTTCTGACTGGGTGGCTTGGAAAGGAGTAAGCTAGATAATTGAAGGGACCGAAGCTGATGCAGAGTGGCTACATTTCTGGGACCTCTTAGAAAGGTGGCTTGCTTAAGCCCTTCATTTTTTTTTTAATCTCAATATGGTTCTACTCTGCAGCAGGAGGGCGTGGGGGGAGCAGATTACTAGAGTGTCATTAGCTTTTATTTAGCAGAAAGAATGAAATCCTTTCTATTATTCTCACCTATTTGAGGCTCCTTGGTAGTACAGACAAAGAAATGATCCTAGAAAAGAGAGAGGAATATTCTGCCCGAATTTATATTTGTGCCCAAAGGACTAAAGACCCACCCTATACTTAGTCCTTGAGGAATCCCATTATCTACAACAGTTCTAAGGAAAAAGAACTTAGGTGAAGCTGTGCTGTCAGCTGTAGTAAGTGATTGATTCTCTAACTAAAACTGATTCTTTAACTTGTCTTGCTGGTATCAATTTTACTGTGTTGTCATTTTCAGAAAGTGGCAGAATTTCTAAAACTGTGGAAGATATATGAGCTTAGAAAATTGACTTGGAGGCTTTACGAAAGCATTTTAAAGACCCCAGTGGGGTCAGGTGCCACCTCAAGTGGGACACATCAGTCTCCCTGCTGGGCCCACATTCCATGCAAAGGGGGCGTCACTTGTACAGACTCGCAGGTGCCCCAGGGTGGAACGGAGGCTGCCCCTAGAGTTCCTGGGGGCTCCTGGCAACTGGAGCACATGGGGCAGATTTCTGGCAGGAAAATCTGGCAGGTGGAAGTGATGGCCACTCACCCAGGTTCCACTTCTCTCCTTGGAGGGGGGTAAAGGTCCCAGACAACCATCTTTATTTATCCCTCTTTATTCTGTTTACACAGTGAGGGTTGTGGATAAGGGCACAGGGCAAGTTGTAGGGATTCCTCACTGTCATGCTTTCTCTCTTGCTTTGGATGTGCCGGTAACGGTAGTTCCGAGTCCCCGGAACTTCTGCTAGTGCCACGCTGACGGGTCTCACCAGAGGGACCACCTATAACATCATTGTGGAAGCGTTGAAGGACCACCAGCGGCACAAAGTGCAGGAGAAGGTTGTCACCGTGGGCAATGCGGGTATGTGATTGCCTGGGCGACTGAGGCCCGGGCTCCCCTTGCGGGGTTGGGGGCTGCTCTTCCTACTTTTCTACCAACTGTCCCATTGTTGCTGTCCTCCTTTAACTTTGGGGAATTACGTTGCATCGTGAGGCAGATGAGCAACTTTATACTGAATTATCTCCCCCTCATAGTACCCTCATGTCTTTGTAAAATGCACACACATTTCAGAGTCCCACACAGTAACAGGATGATAGACTTGGGCACAGGCTTCCTGACCTCTTTGCCCAGACTGTCTCCATCTCCCCATATTTCTGTCCTCTTGAGTGATTTTAAGTCCCGAAACGGATGACCTGCAAAGGAACTTCCCCACCTGCAGACCTTAGGGACAGCTGGTGTCCTTCCTAATGGAAAGTGCCACCAACATAGCCTATTTCTATCCCCAGGGCTCCCTTAGTCCAATGTGATTTCAATTTTCTTTCTATGACATAGATTCAAAGCCTCTATGAAAGGTTGAGTGGTCATTGAGTCTTCAGAGCACCTGGGAAGTCCTATTAAAAGTTCTCCTGAACTTTGTGACAAGCCAGTATGTCCCTTGGCTTGTCAACCTGTGACAGCCGAAGACTCATAGAGGAACATAAGATAGGAAATAATCTGAACCCCGAACCCCATGTCTTCCAAACAGAGGGTTGTCTATCAGCAGGAGTGCTAATTTTTTTCTTGACCAAGTGACTGGCTTTATTTCCAGGGCCAGTTTCCTTCATTTCAGCCTCCTTCCTCATTGACTGTGTTGTTTTACAGACATAAATGCCGGTGAATTAAGCAGCTGAGTATCTGGGAGGGAGGGTAGCAGGGTGGGGATCATTTTGTGCTGGTTGTAATATGGCCACGGTAACACATACCTTTTGCCTTCAGTGGTTTTATTAGTAAGATGCCATGTGAAAGGAATTTGCAAGAGCACAAAGATCTTTGTGCTTCTCCACCCCATTTTTAAAAAAAATTTCTATCTCCATAACTGTAGTAAGGTGGAATTTCAACTCCTGGCTGTTTTCAGGAGACTTACTGAAAGCCCTTGTAGCAGTTTAAGTTCCTTCCATTTTTCTTTTCACCTCCACATTCTCAGCAGTGAGCTTCTTCATTCTAGCCAGGTTCTCCTGGCTCTGAAGCATCTCAGACTTCTGAGTTTCTGTAAAACTCTATTCTCCCGACCCTTGAGTGCTGCCTTTTAAAATACTAGGCACTTCAAATGTTTGTGGCTTTTGAGCTTTTGATTTTTGCCCTGTCAGCAGAAACATAACACAGTGAGATTCAAAGACACAGAAGTTAGTTTACTTAACTTTTAGAGTAACTTAAAACATTCTTTGTGTGAGTTATTGTACAGTAAGCTTTCCCAAGACGCAAGGGCTGAGAGCTTGGGCAAAGTGAAGAGCCACTATCATGCATTTCTAAGTCATTCATGTCCCATTGCTTCCTCTTGTTTGGAGCAATTGATTTTATTAAGCAAAGCAGTCCTATATTATGCTAATAATGTACAAAACCTTAACATTTTGAACTCTTAAGGAAAACACACAAAACTAAAAGTGAAGATCACATGATAATGGCACATGAAAATGTTAAAAACTTTTGCAATAAAAGCAAAAATGCCCTCTAATAATTATGCTTTATTTGGTGAGCACTTTGTAAGTGTTGGTAATGGATCAGTACTTTGAATTCAGGATCTCATGTAATCTTCACAAGATCCCAAGCAGGTAGAGGTGTTTTTAGTGTTATTCTTTACTACAGATGACTCTAATGTAATAGCTTCAGGTCACTCAGGTACCGACGGAGAGGCATCTGCAGTCTCTGCATCTCACCGATATTCTGAACTAGCTTACATTGCTTCTAGGTCTGTTCCTCCTTCTATAGGCTAGATTTACCAGAAATGACTTTTTTCTAGAACTGATAACAAACATGAAAGATGGGTTTTTTTGATGATGCCTTTTCAAGTGTCCACCGGCAGCATTTAAGCGTTGCCTACTAGAGCAGCTTGTCACACTGATAGAACAGATGAATGCCTCTTAATGCTACTAGGATTTTTGTGTTAGATGAAGTCACTACGTAGAATAATCTGTTTTCTTCTTGTATTCCAAAACCACCAGTAAGATGTCTTTTTTATTGCTTTTCCCTTCTTTTCTTCATGTATGCTACCCAGGCCCAAACCCGCCAACGGATGACTCGTGCTTCGACCCCTACACGGTTTCGCATTACGCCGTTGGAGAGGAGTGGGAGCGCTTGTCCGAATCTGGCTTTAAACTCTCCTGCCAGTGCTTAGGCTTTGGCAGTGGTCATTTCAGATGCGATTCATCTAGTGAGTAGCTCGCTCTGTCCACCCGCTCATCTGTCCATCTCCTCCAGTCCCATGCATTCATTTGCACAGTGTGCCAAGGAGTCATGTTTGGCAGACATGGGCTCTTCCAAACATGAAGCACACGAGGGGAGACTGCTTCACTCACAGTAACATTTTGCATCATAGGAAAATGATGGGAAATTTTACTTGTGGAATAGTGCAAATAGTGCTTCGTTTCAAGAGTGGTTTGTCAATGCGACAATTAAAAAGAAATTTGCGACGGTAGTAGGATTTGTAAAAATTTTCTGGTCGGCAAAATTAACAAAGTCAAACTCTTTGGAGCCTGGTCAACAGAGAGACACGGGCAACCCAAAGTTTCTTTTAATCTTTACTGTTGAATGAACTCAGAGGCAAACATTTATACTCATAAACACTCTGCCTCTTTCAACACAGACTGAACATACCTGTACCATATATGGTACACAGACACACAGCAGGCACGAGGGGATACAGATAATCTGGAGATAATTAAGAATCTCCCATCAAAATAGGTTTGATCTTCGAATTATAAAAAGATTGTAAAATTGTAATTATTTTTTAGTCAAGGTGATTTGGGCATTATTATTTTTTGAGATTTAGTAGTAGAATTTATAAACTATGCTTCATTTTTAGCGGGTGTGTTATTGGCAACTGGTTCATTTTTATTTTTAAGTTTGTATATATTATCTATATAAGTCATTAGGTGCACTTTTGGGAGTAGAGCTGTAAGTTGATTTATGTGATTCTTTGGCACAAATTATATATTCTTTGCTTAGATGTCATAACTATCAATTAACTTAAAGTTTAAGGAATGAGTGACTTTGATAAAATGAAAGTAATGTATTGTTTTACAAACTATTGAAGTGTGTTTTGGTATAAACCATGGAGATTAAGAAGTCATGTTTTATGTGTAGTAGTGAAGATATGTAACCGTGACTGTTGACTGTCCTTAAAACCAACCTGGTTTTTAGGGATAGTAACCACTGATTTATCATTTTGCTTGTTTTTGTTGTTTTGATACACAGGTTACTCTTGTTCTCTCATTTACAAGAATCAGGGTGTGGAATATAGAAACCTGCTGATCTTTGTGTTTTATTTTCTTTCTTTTTTTTTTTGTTAATTGAACTACTTTGTATCCAGGATCTCTGCAAATCCAAAGTGATGTTCTATTCCTAAAATACTCAAAGTCTACTTTAGTTTTACATTAACAGTGAGAATTCAAATGAAGGTCACTGACTATTTTGTGATGTGATTGTGGGGGAATACATTGAATCTTAAAAATAGCATTTTAGAAAATATTAAATGGCAACTTAAAATCCAAGCAAAAAATTGGTTTGTCTATGGGATGATGACCTTTAACCTTCCTTACCATTCCTTCCAGATCCCTCCTGTGAGGTACCCCAGTGCATTCACTGTCCTGTGAGCCAGAACACACCAAATAACCACCTCTGATTCCCCCCACCCCGCAGAATGGTGCCATGACAATGGTGTGAATTTCAAGATTGGAGAGAAGTGGGATCGCAAGGGAGAAAATGGCCAGATGATGAGCTGCACGTGCCTTGGAAATGGAAAAGGAGAGTTCAAATGCGATCCCCGTACGTGGCCACAGATCACTTTTAGTGCCTTGTCGAGTGCTCCCGTGCTCATTACTGAGCCGTAACTCTCATTCACAGAAACGAGTGGAGATTTTAGGTCTCCTTGAGGAGTGAACAGTGGGTTTGTTAATCTTCTGATTTGGGAAAGTGGAGACAAGCTTCAGAAACGAGCCGTGATTTAATGCAATGACGGCGCTGGAGCACTTTTCCTACCCGAGTATTTTGATCATTAACTGCATTGAAATGCTATCAGAAAGCTTTATGGGTCTTCAGATTCAACTTTGAAAATATGGTCTCCATCTTCTCAGTTTATTAGATCTAGTTTTTGGAAATGCGGCCCTCTGATGTCTATACTAGTTTCTCAGTAATGAATAATTCCCATAACCGTGTGGTGTTTTGATGATAATGATACAAATTCAGGGAAGAAACAGAAGCTGCCCTGTTCAGGGGTCGAGTCTGTCTGATTGTTCTTGGTCTCACATGCACTTCTGACCTGTGTCTCCACGTAGATGAAACCACATGCTACGATGACGGGAAGACGTACCACGTAGGAGAACAGTGGCAGAAGGAATACCTCGGTGCTATTTGCTCCTGCACCTGCTTTGGAGGCCAGCGGGTAAGGCTGACTTCGATTTCCATATGATCAAGATAAGCTGGTGGTTCAGGGTTAAACTTCTTGTGTGTATGCTCTGCATACAATATGGCAGTGCCCCTTGTGAAATGTTGAAACTCCTTATTTCCTCTTGGCACATAGCTGCCCAGATAGAGCTCCTGAATACCCTTTCTAGTTGTCTCCTCTTGTGACAGCCTCAGAACCAACCCTTCCCATCCATCCCAACCAGTATTCTCATGCCCTCTCTCTTCTCTGGCAACTAAAGTGTTAAAAGTGGGGTAGTGCTGGGCCTCTAGCTCCAATCTAAAGGACGGGTGCCCCTGTAGCATTGTTGTTAAATGTGTGGAAACAATAGCATTGTTTGTGGCTGCCCAGATGTACGGCAGTGCCCTTTCTTTGTACCCTCCCCCCAAAACAATAGATTCCTGCTATAGGTCTGGTGCTGTGCAGGGGACTATGGGGTAGAATGAGAAAGGTCCCGGCTCTTAATGGTACAGTAGTTGGAGACATGAAATTAGCATAGATTCAAAGCCAAGCTCATTAAGTAAGATTCTGAATGGGTCTGCCAATTAATACAGTACCCAGGTAGCCTGGAATCAGCAAGAAAATTTTCATGAACAAGAGAAGTGTAACCTGGCTGGGATTTAGGGTGGTTCGATTTGGGCTGAGGGAGGGGAGGAAGCAGAGAGCGGAGTAATCATACCCTCTGGGCTGGGAAGGGGCTGGCAGGTGCGGGCTCCAGCGAGCCACCCCTCTGTCTGGCGTCTTGGGAGAAATTAGATGGGCCTTGGAAGTCCATTAGTTTAGCTAGTACTTCTCAACCATTTCTAATCTGCTCTATTTGTATAAAAAAAAGGCTGTGCCTCCCTCTAATATTTGAAATTTCAAAATCAAATGACTCTTGTAGCTCTTTAAAAATGAAGGGACATAATAGTCCCTTGTTTTCAGTGAGAATAGGCCCTCCCCACAGCCCTCAAGTTCTGGTGCATGAGGACATGCTCCCTACTCCAGGGTCCGGCTCACTGGTCGATGCCTTTGGCATTAGCCAATTGCAGGGGCCCAAGAAGAAAAAGAGCATGATGGGAAATGGCCTTTAGGAAGACTGGTCTGGCAGCAGGGAAGGGTTTCGGGGTCTGCTTCTGCCCCCACCTGAGGACCTGGGGCAGGCAGGCAGCTACTACCATCTCACTCTGCCTGTAGTGGGTGGGTGGGGACGGAGGCTGCCCATTCTGATAGGTAGAAGCTTCAGAGTCTCCCTCTTTCTGTATTTCTCACTAACACTTACAGGCTGTGATCCCAGGACTCACTCATCTCTGGTCCTGCGGCTGCTACAGAAGGAAATGTGGTGGAAGTGAATTTGTGGGGAAGTGGGTTTTGGTCTCACTTCAGCATCTCCTCATTATTTGCGCACGTGAAACCTTTCACATGTGCCACCTATTCTGTTCAAAAGCAAGGTGCTAAATGAAACACTTAAGACGGGAGTGGGAGCCATTACATTTTTAGAGGAAAGCAAGATTCATTGATTGTCTAAGTAGGCATTTACTGGTAATTGTATTCAGTATTACAGGGAATATGCTTTTAAATGGAGAAATATGCCTGAAATATTCAAATGACACTGAAAGAGTGACTGCATGACAGGGTTCTTTTGGTTGTAAGGGAAAAGCCCGATTCAAGTTAATTTATGCAAAAGAAGGCTCACATTACTGAAAAGTTCCAGGATCCACTAGTCAGAGCCCCTTCCTGAATGGCATTGGGGTCTCCTATGCTTTGTTTCTTTGTATTGGCTTCATTCTCCAGGAGGGACGGTGACAAAAGGTGACCTCCCTCAGCTCTGGGTTTATCTCCTACCAGCTTAGGAGCGACAATTAGAACACATTTCCTCCCATTTCCAGCAAACACCTCGGACGAAGCCTCCCTGGCCCAGCTGGGTCCCGTCCCCACTTTCATGGCATCACTAGCTGGGAGAAGGGCTATGTCACTGGCTACAGACATTTGGGAAGGAGTGGCCATGTGGTGAATAGAAAGAGCATGGCCAGGAGTTGCCCAGCGGGATGGCAGCCCCAATGTCACCAACAGGTCACTGTGTGACTCTCCTCCCTCTGAGCGAGTCATCCCCCTGGGTGTCATTTTCCTTACCTATAAACTTAAGGTATTTGTCCAAGTGACTTCAAGGCCCTTCTATAAGCTTTAGGGTTCTTGGAAAACCTATTATCTGATGTGGAAACTCATTAAGGTAGTTGGAGCCGGAAAGAGCCTTGGCAGGTAGGTGGGGTTGGAATAGGAAGAGGAGAGAACATTTCAGGAGAAAGGAAACACAGAAATAGAACCAGAAGCTCTAACATATGAGTAATCAGCAAAGATATCTTCTGTGAGTTATACATTCATGAAATCATCATCCAAGTGTCCTTTGTGATTAATTGCTTATAGTTTGCCAACGAGGAGCTGAAATCCTTCTTTAACACAAGCACTAAACTGTGCTGTTCTGGAGTTATCGTAAACCCCATCTGACTTCATGCCTCTGCTCTAGGGCTGGCGCTGTGACAACTGCCGCAGACCGGGGGCTGAGCCTGGTCCTGAGGGCACTCCCGGTCACTCCTACAACAACCCGTACTCTGAGAGGTACCACCAGAACTCAAACACTGTAAGTGCATCCGCACCACGAGTATTTCTCCCCTAAATGCAATCCGTCATATAGTAGGTACTTTTTTTTGGATGAACCAAACCTATTTAGAAAAAAAAAACCCTCTATGTGACTTAAGAGTACTGTATCCTGTAGCATAATTCAGATGCTAATAATGTACTAACATCTTGAACATCACCTATTGCCCAGTTTGAGTGTATCGGTAGGTTCTTAAAGCTAGAACTAGTCCCCTAATTTAGAGATAATTGTCATAGAAACCCCACCTCCCTTTTTTTCTGTACACTCTGCAGTATTTGCTGCTAATTCTTTGTCTTCTCTTTTAACAGAATGTCAACTGCCCGATTGAGTGCTTCATGCCCTTAGATATACAGGCTGACATAGACGATTCTCGAGAGTAATCCTTCCAATCCAGAGCACCGAGCGTGGGTCTCTGCCAAGGCCCATCCAAACTGGAGTGACAGGAGCAGGCCCCGCCCTAGAGTGTTTGTTTCTTTCTTAAGCCCTTCGCTCTGGAGAGTAACTTCTCCAGCTTCAGCTCGACTCACAGCTTCTCCAAGCATCACCCTGGGAGTGTTTTGAGACTTTTCTCACAAAAGGGGGCAGTACATTGTTTGTTCTGTTCCAAAGTATTCGATACCGCTCAGTATTTTAAATGATTCTAACTTGTGATTTGGGATCAGTAGGGAAGCACGTGCAACAACCCAGATGCAAAATGTACTGAAATGATATTACCAAAACTCTAAGTAGGAAAGTTACCCAAACACTTCTGCTTCCATGTAACTGTCTGGCCCGCAATGCTGTAGGAACGGCATGTCCTTGTTACCGTGGTATTGAAAATATCCACGGTGCTCACTTTTTCCAAATGATTCTAGTAATTGCCTAGAAACATCTTTCTCTTACCTGTTATTTATCAATTTTTCCCAGTATTTTTATATGGAAAAAAATTTGCATTGAAGACACTTAGTATGCAGTTGATAAGAGGAATTTGGGTTATGGTTGGTGACTATTTTTTATACTGTACATGCCAAAGCTTTACTACTGTGGAAAGACAACCGTTTAATAAAAGATTTACATTCCACAACTTGAGTATCTTGGCTCCTTTTTCATATAAAGACATTTGGGGGGAAATAATCCTTGTGCATTTTCTTTTTGATTCAGCAGACATTTGAAAACCTTTGTGTTCAGCTGTCTACTTCTTGGTGGTTTCAGTACAAGAGTTGCTAAATCGCCACAAACACAGATTCGTTCTTGCCATTTCATCTCTTCAGTAATGGAGACTGTTTTGTACTTCCTGCTTTAACCAGATTTAAGTGGATGCAAATGTTTGGATGACTTGCTCGCTAGTTCTTCGGCAATCAAGTCAAAACCACCTTTAGTTGCTCTTTTCTAATCCTGATTCTTCCCTCCCCTGAGATTACCTGCAAGGAGAACAAAAAGGCGGCAGGTGTTAAAACTGGAACAGCAGACAGAGGGCAGTTCTGTCCTAGCCCCACCCCTGTAACTACCTCAACCTAACGTGTCTACATTTCCATCAGTTGACAATTTAGGGTCCCCCAGCTGAACAGGGTTCGCTGACTCTTGGTCTGCAAAGGCCACTTCCTTTTCAGTTTAACTTTGGGGCTACATCGAAACTTTGACACTAAGCAGAGCACTCAGAATAACAATGGCACTGAGAATAGTTGGTTATTAACGAGTAAAATACTAACTCATAAAGTATAAGACATGGAAAACACATTTAATATGCTATTGTGCAATGCGGAAAAACACTCCAATAAATACTTGGCAATGAATATTAAGATTAAATACAGAGAGAGATTTCCTCAGGTTTATTTGTTTTTAAAAAACAAAACAAATTTGCATTTCAGTTTGCAGTTTATAAATGCTTCCAGGACCAAGCAGCTCATTTGGATTGGTTTTTACAGTGTGCATTTCGCAGAGACGGCAGCTCAGACGAGTTGGCAGCGGCAGGGGCCGGGCCCAGGCCCAGGACTTCCTCGTCTTTCTGTTTTATCAGGCTCTACACCAAGATGGCTGCCCTGTGTGGAGGTGGGGGAATCACAGAAAGTACAGATCCCAGTGATGACTGTCTCCCACACGTGGGTCCTCAGAGCTCAATGGAGAATGATTCAGTGCAAATCCACACTATGCAATGGGTGTCCCACGGAACACAGCTGCTTGGGAGAACACAGGACACGGGCCACTTCCTCCCTCGTTCATACCTGCTCCTCAGGTCCATCCTGTTGGAAGGTTTTTATATTTTAAAGGATAAGGAAAGAGCAGCTTTGGGTTGAGACTGACTGTGCTTCAAACCACTTCCCTAACTACAGACCTAAAAATATTTCCCACAAAGTGAGTTTAAATCAATCCTTTTGGACAGTAATGAAGGGATAGCAAGCCCTCTTGACAGCTTCTAGCAGTGAACTGTCAAAACCGAAGGCTCCATGTATAAAAGTACTACTTTTTCTGCCTGCTAGATCCTCAAAAGCAATATATTCAATTTACAAATTAAACTATTTGAATAGTAACTACATTTAAATAATCAGTACAGAGTAAACAAATTTATTTTTTATTTATAAAAGATTTACATGTGTTCATTTATTTTTTTCAAAGCTACGATGAAGGTAGAACAGAAATTATCATTGTCATCTTAAATTTTGGTAAACTGAGGGTCAAGATTACATAACTCACTTAGGATAAGACAGCCAGGAAAACACCGTTGGGGAGTCTTCACTGGCATCTCATGACTTTAGACCTGACTCACTGATGATTCCTGGAACCCCTGGGTCATTCTCCAGCCAAGACGGTTGGGTACATCGTCCCACCCATTCCCTCACTGATGACAGCTCCACCATATCATGGGGCCTTGTGACCATTGCCTACTGCCCGGCCCAGTTTTATGGGTATTAGTATTCAAAAGCAATGGCTAACTTCATGTCTTGACTCCAAATCAACACATTTAAATGACCTCTTATGTTTTAGCCTCACAGTGTAAGAGTGGTGTAACTTTCCTTTTTACTATTTCTCAGCAAAATCATTCCAACATGAGAATAGAGAGGATTTCCAAACATCTTTTAGTTTTTACTGACTCATGTTACTGCTTCCTCTGAGAATTATCTTAAGCAGGCAAGGCTGAAAAAATATAATTAAAAGACGGATTGGGATTTAGGCAAGAAATTGCCAATTCAAGGAAAATCATATAAAACTAGTGAGTATATCAGAGTTTAAAATGGAAAACCAAAGTTGGGAAGCTTTATTGTGCTTTGCTGCACTTGATTTGTAGTGAAATTTATCGTGGTATATTTCTATTGTTTTCAGTTCTCCTGACCTAACTGAATTATGCAAATTAGCCTCTATAATAATATCACTGTTAGCCTGTAAAGCACACTTTCTATGGAGGTGAATAAAGAAATAATCAGGTAGAAATTAGAAGTACAGGAAATGACTTTTATTTAATTATATTTCCATTGAAAATTCTATTCCATTTCTAGTTTTACGTAACTCATTAAAGTGATTAAGAAACATCACATCAGCACATTTAAGTGCCAAAATTGCTCCCTACTCAGTAAATTCCCATTACTGTGGTAGGGAAAGTGGCAGGCTACAATTAAAAAGTCCCATTTTCAGGAGATACATTTCAACCATTAAAAAAAACAACACTCTTGGGATGTCTCATGTTTGGGAACATTTAAGGATGATCATAAAGGCTAATAAAGCAGAAGCAGCACAAAGATGTCCTGCGCTGTTACGGGCTTTTCAGACTAAAATGGTTACTTTTAAAGAGTATGTGGTGCAACTATTTGACGTGTCAGTCATTATCATTGCCACGTGGTCCCTCACCATACCCTTATTAAAAGATTCCATTTGGATTGCAAGTAAGAATCTATATAAATTACAAAGGAAGAGAATGTTGTAAGTAATAAAAGAGCAAGGGCATAGATGCTCCAGTTGAAAACTGAAACTGGGAAACTCCTTTTTAACGTCTGTCAGGAGAGTTAGGAGATATTAAAACATGTAATACATTTCCTTGCATCCTTGCTTAGTCTTTAGAGGCGTACAGGTTTTAACAGTCTTAGGAGGCACATTTATCTCTAAAATAGCTTTTTTTGGACCCCCCGGAGACCTTGCAGTTAGCACTATGTGGAGGCTGCGGAAGGCTGCTGGCGTGGGCGATGGTCAGATCCTGCACTGGCTGGGCTGCAATCGCCTGTCCGGCAGGCTGCCCACCACGGCAGACCCCCCTTCATAAAATGCATCAGGGGCTAAGGACTCCCTCTTGGCCTTCTCTTGTTGCTTCACGGTACTCTGGAAACAGCCATTTCATTCCAAGAAGGAAACAATGCTTCTGTCAGGAGACCACTGGACAGGACTTTCTATAAAACCTGCTCATATGTATAATTCAGCATTCGCTGTAAGATGCTGACTGAACCACTGAAAAGCTCTCCCGTATTTGACTCAAAAACATGCCACTTTGGTGAAGAAACTGGACTCCTCATACATTGCTGGTGGGAGTGTAAAATGGCGCAGCCGCTGAGGAAAACCGTTCGGTGGTATTTCAAATAATTAAACACAGAATTACCGTAGAGCCCCCCAACACCCAGAACTGAAAATGTGTTCATACAAAAGGTTGCACAAAAATGTTCATAGTGCTGTTGTCCATGATAGCCTGAAAGGCAAAACAAGCCAAATGTCCATCAACTGATCAGTGAGGAAACAGAATGCGGTCTATCCATACAACGGGACATCACTTGACCACGAACAGAAAGGAAGCACTCACGCATTGTACAACGTGAGCCTTGAAAACATAAACTAAAGGGGGGGTAATGGTGGGGACGGGGGGGTAGGGTGGAGGGGAATGAAAGGGGGAATAGAACAACTGTAACAGCATAATCAATAAAAAAATTTAAAAAAAAAGAAAACATTATGCTGACTGAAGTACGTCAGGCACAAAAGGCCGGAAGTCACATGGTTTATATGAAAGGTCCACAATAGCAAACCGATACAACAGAAAGTAGATGAATAGTGATGAGGGGCTGCGGGGACAGGAGGAAGAGGGAGTAACTGTTGCTGGAGATGCAGTTCTTTCTGGGGTGATGAAAATGTTCTGGAACTAGAGACCAGTGGTGGCAGAACAACTCTGAATATACTTAAAATCACTGACTTGTACACTTTAAAATGGCTGAAATGTCAAATGCTAGGTTTCATGAATGTTTTTTAATGAAAAGATAAAAACTGTAGTTCCAGGTCTTTTTAAAAAACATATATTTAATTGATTATGCTATTACAGTTATCCCATTTTTTTCTCCTCTTTCTTCCCCTCTGCCTTGCACCCCCAACCCACCTGCATTCCCCCCAACCCCAGTTCATGTTCATGGGTCACGCATATAAGTTCTTTGGCTTCTCCATTTCTATTCTTAAACTCCCCCTGTCTATTTAGTACCTACTAATTATGCTCCTTATTCCCTGTACCTTTTCCCCTATTCTCCCCACCCCTCCCTGCTGATAATAACTCTCCATGTGATCTCTATTTCTGTGAATCTATTCCTGTTCCAGTTGTTTGTTTACTGTGTTTTTGTTTTTGTTTTTTTAGGTTCAGTTGTTGATGGTTGTGTTTTTTGTCATTTTACTATTCATATTTTTTATCTTCTTTTTCTTAGATGTCTCTTTAACATTTCATATACTAAGGGCTTGGTGATGATGAACTCCTTTAACGTGACCTTATCTGGGCAGCACTTTATCCGCCCTTCCATTCTAAATAGTAGTTTTGCTGGATAGAGTAATCTTGGATGTAGGTCCTTGTCTTTTATAACTTTGAATAATTCTTTGCAGCCCCTTCTTGCTTGCAAGGTTTCTTTTGAGAAATCAGCTGATAATCGAATAAGAGACTTCTTCGTAGGTAACTGTCTCCTTTTCATTTGCCGCTTTTAAGATTCTTTCCTTATCTTTAATCTTGGGTAATGTAATTATGCTGTGCCTTGGTGTGTGCTTCCCTGGGTTGAACTTTTGGGGGACTCTCTCAGACTTCCTGGAAGTCTATTTCCTTTGCCAGATTGGGGAGTTCTTCTTCAGCATTTGTTCAAATAA